CAAATTCAACATTTAATAACATACATACCAGAACACCAAAGAGAATATGGACTTACAATGAGGAAGTAACCTTCCATAACAGCATGATAGAATTAGTAGAAAGGAATTGGCCTGAAGGTCATAAAGCATATAAGATTCAAAGGCTATGTTGAAAGAGAGGTCACCTTGGTGTGGATTGAACCATGTGATGCACAAACATGCAGACTCTATATTAAGGAGAAACTACGATAACATAGATGAAGTATTGCTATGTAGTATATTTGCTTGGGATCCTGATAACCTCTACATTGCAGTGAAAGTAGTCATTTTTATGTGTGATTGTAACTGAATTATTTGCAATTAGATGAATATAAACTCATCTCAAGACTTGTTACAGGATTAAGAAATGAAAACTTGTCTGCAAATTTTGCATTACGCGCGTATTTTGATTATAGAGGCATTCTATTTGTCTTCCTCACATTACTTCACTGATTTCCATGTTGAACTGAATACCTTTATTTCATATTCCACAATATCCTGTTGCACTACAGACATATTTAGCATTTTTCTAGTCAATTCATGACCAGGGGAACATTATGCATGCCACGCACCTAACCTATTCTTAGGTTAAAAAGCTAACAGAAATGAATTATGACGACAGCAATGGTGGATAATACTTGTTAACATCAGTCCGCAATCAGATATCTTTGATGCTTACAGATAAGAAATTACCTTGGATCCAAAAGAAACTCCTTTGGAATATAGTTAATGCCCACTCTCAAATCTGTGGCAGCTCCAAGATCAATGATTTTAAATGTACGAGACCCTGCTTAAGTTTCAAAACAGCAAAGAGTTAATCTAGGAATTCTTGAATTGGAAAATCTTTATTGACTAAGTAAAGCATGCTACCATTACCTTCAGAGAAAATAATATTTTGTGGCTTAATATCCCTGTGCACAATTCCTGTTGAATGAAGCCCATCCAAGGCAAATAAGATCTGTCCCATGATAGTTTGAATGATTTGATTTTCCCTTTCCAAGCCCTTGGGCAAGTTCTGGACCTCCCCAAGTATCATGGTTTCTACCTGATGTTATACAAAAGAATTACTAGAGTTGGCAATTAATTAGAGAGCTAAACTGGCATCTACAAAGTGTATTAAAATGGTATATTTGGCAAATAATTGCCGGGGAAAAAGAAAATAAAAATGAAATTAAAAAAAAAAAAAAAAGCTGATGAGAGAAAGTACCAACATTGTAGGGGAACTCTTTGCTCTGTATCAAATCTGAAAGTGTGGCGTCCCCTTCAAAACGCCATACAAGCCAATATTCTCCTCCTTTCTTTGAGGAACCCTGAAAGATGTTTCAGGAGAACAATTTCAAGTCAAAAAAGCTAGAAATGGATAAAGAAGAAACAAAAAACAATAAATGATCTAGTCTCAGCAATCAAACTAAACTTTATCTATAGAGATAAGGCTAAAGATCAGCACCTCAAGAAAGCCGTATACAAAATCAGCACAGCTGTTTGCACATGCTCTTCGCACACGCTCATTCATCCAGATTTCCACTGCACCGTACTCAGTAGCCTTTTTCACGACCAAGTCACCCTCTTTCTGATGATGAACAAAACTAAAAAATTAGTTAAAAGCTGACATCCCATATTCAATTCCACTATTGGAAACTTACAAGGAGCCTATTCAATCACCTATCGAGAATCTTCATGCTGAATAAACATATCATCAATTCCGTTTGTTTCTAAAATCAAATAATCCAAATCCACTTACTAATGAAAGCAACTAACTTCAACAGTTTAACATCGCAATTCAGATAGAAAGCAAAGTTAAAGGAATGCAGAAATGAACAGAATTTTAAATACTAGATTTCTCAAACATGCCATACCTTTGAGTTAGGCTTCTTAGCCCATGAAACTCTATACACCACGCCAAAAGCACCCTCGCCGAGCTTCTTTCCCAAAACAAAATCATCCTGGACAATCAGAAACAAACGCCTTTAACCACAAAACAAATTCCACAAGGAAATATAATTGAACTCCAAATTTGGCTATGAATTCACTCACCTTCCTGTAAGTTGGTCTAAACAGCCTCTCAACAAAAGCAAGAAAAAACATGTCAAAAAACCCAGGAGCCACACCTGGAGTAGCCCAGAGATAGGACACAGCACCCAAAGCCAACATTGCACCAGGTACAGTGAGGGTTAACCCATTGGGCTTGGGCAAAGTGCTTCTATATATGATATCACCACACTCCATGACAGTGCATGGCAACCCCACTCCCACTCCCACGAAGAGATCACGAACTGCATCGATCAGTTCACTTTTCAAGGACAAAACACTGAACGTTTTGGGACTTGAGAGGTTGGTGTTAGGAGAGATTGCGAGTTTGAGTTTCTTGCCAAGAAATGTAGATGGAGAATGAGATGGGTGTTTTATTAGTTTCTGAATGTTGTACGGATTGATAAGGCCGATGTTAACTCCACCGGCTGCAACCGTGGCCATGCCGATGCCTGTGGTGAGGTAGGCTAATTTGGGGAGCTTGAAGCCTGAGAGGAAGAAACAAAACGGATAGAAAGAGACACTGCAGTTTACATGAATCGGCTTCAAATTTAGACCACTAGTTGCTTTATTCCCGTTTTTTCATTTTTGAGTTGGTCTTACAGTGACAGTTATTTCAGGTATTTATTGTGGAAGAGGGGGGCTTAACTGGATTGAAGAGTCCTGCACACCACATATTACACGTTGACAGAAATTAGTGAACAACAAGGTTTAACTTAATATCCGTTATATTATCCACAGCTGATGGGCTGCAACAGGCTTTTGTACCCGATCAGGCCTTCTCCCTTTTGGATCGGTCAGAATAACCAGTTTAATATTCTGAACTCAAAAGTCATGGTCCAAAATAGAAAGCTCAAAGTTTTCCCTGAAAGTGTCCAATCAGATGTTTGGATCTTCTCTGTCTTCAAATGATGGATTAGCAGCTCTTGCAAGACATCCTCTGAAACATTTGAATTAAACTCACAGACTCAATTCAATCAAGTAAGCATTTTGTTCGAATTCCAGAACGAATTGCCTGCAACTGCAATTTCTGCAATAGTTTTTTATTAGTGGGTGATACTTACCAAGATAAATGAAGTAACCTACAACACACTACTTTCTTATGAGTAATGGCACCCAATAAAGCCACCATTCCCCGGCTTACCTAAAGTAAAACTAGTTCATCAGTATTACCTAAAGCAATGCTACAGAAGCAGTAAGAGATCTATCCTCTTCCAATTCAGTCTTTGATGTTAGAGAAAACAACAAAACAAGATGACCTTCAAGCATGCATGTGACGGGTGAGACTTGAGATTGAAAAGTGAGCTCATCAACACTTGAAAGATGAAACTTGGCTACTTAATCCACCAAATACAAAGACATTCTTTTCTTTTTGAAGAACCAAATTCAAAGGCTAGTAGTTTTTTTTTGTTTATTAATGGATTAGTTATTAGTTATAGAAATAAAAACACTCCCAAAGCTTCAAGTAAGACATAATCAACGTAACAAGTAGAGCGTGGCTATCATGTCTTTTTTTTTTTTTTTTTTTAATTCTATCCACTTAACTCATTTAAAAACATATTACCTGTCTAAATCGTTCAATCTCCAAAAATTTGTTTAATATACATACCATAAACTAATGATCAGTTGACAAAAATGTAGCTATCATGTTAGGGGCTCTGTTAACTGATATTTGTATTTCAACTTCCTTTTTTAAAACTTTTGTTGGTAGATCATAACATCGTGCATATTTCTAGAGTAATGCTATTTTGTATTGTTAAACTATTTTTAAATAAATAATATGAAAATTTTATAAGCATGTGTCTAATAATTGTCGAATACTCGTACAATCAGACATTTAAGCATTCTCTATTATTTTATAGCTGTGAACATGGGGGGGGGGATTGATTTTTAGGTGGGAAGCAGAGGCACAAAATTTTGTAAGCTTCATATTTTAGTTTGTTGTCTCATTAATTCGCCGTTATTGTTGTGGTTGAGGGAGTTAGTGCTTTAAACACAACACGTGACAATTATCAAACACTTGGCTTCTATTGGGCATGTGAATTTTGGTGGTCCTTTTTGTTCTCATCAATAAGAATGAAAAAATAATTATAAACACAACTGTAAACCCTTGCCTTAAAAAAACAATAACATGTCCAAACAATAAAATTTTGTAGCTGTATGAGAGGACCAGATCAAAGCAGAGTAGAACAGTGCCGTGTTGGACCGTTGGTTGCATGGATGGCACGTCTGGGCTAATGCTTTCCCAACTTCAACCATCTGTTGTCGTTAAATATTGAAATGTCTCTACTTTCCCATAATTAATTAATCTTTCATACTTCATTAGTAATATTTTTGACATTTGATATCCAGCAACAATGGACAGATCATCATTAACTAGTTATTCTTTATGTTGTTATACAATATGTATTTTTAAATTATTTAAAACTTACTATTAAGTTAGTTTAATTGATAAAATCTTTTATTTTGAGAGTATTTATCTTAATACTATCCAACAAAAAAGTAATTCTCAACATAATTCATTTAAAAAAATTAGACCATCCATCTATCTATCATCCTTTTTTTTTTATGAAAAGTAATAAAAACTTAGAAGAATATAATTCTCTAATTAAAAGAAATTTCATATAATATTATAATTATATTATAATTATAAATATTATTTAATTATAATCTTGAAATTTGAAGGACACTTTACCTCGAAATTTGATATTCAAAATCTTATGAAGAAATTGGATTTTTTTTTATCAAGAGTAGTATCCTTTGAATGGCTTTAAAAAAGTGTATTCGTCGATGGTTTACCATTTTTACAAAAAAAAAAAAAAATGCAAATCTGTTTTTCTTTCTTTTTTTTTTTTTACATTAGAAACTTTAGAAAAGTCAATTAATTAATAATGCACTATAAAAAAGTGATTAGAGTGGGCCGTATAAAAGGTCTTTGATTTAACTTACCAGCTTCAAATCACATCAAATCAAATCAACAGTTTGCACCTAATCTGAGCTTGATTTTAGTAAGTACTCCACCGGCTGCAGCTTACTTAACTAACTCCTCACTCACTCAACGCCAATCGCACCGCTAATCTCGCCCCATTCCTCTCCTCCCTTTCAAGTCCCTACCTTTTCCTCCTAAAAAGTTTAAGTGTCCGAACACCCAATCCCTCGCTAATAATCCCATTCTTCTCACCATGTCCTTCCTTTTCCTTTTCCTCTTCCTGCTTTCCTTCCCTTTCCTCCTCCCTCCTGCCTTCCCTCTCCCCTACCCTTACAGTAAGCAGTCATCAGCCCTTTTTGTTCAACATTTTACGTTCTATCCTCCCTAACCGTAATTGCATTGTTTTGTTTTTTTTTTTTTTTTGCAGACACTAGCTACCACATTGACTGCGGCTACCTCACTCCTTCTACTGACTCCTATAACGTCTCCTGGTCGCCGGATCAATTCTTCACTGGCGGCTCCTCCGCCGTGGTCTCGGAGCCGCTCCACTTCCATCTCCAACAGGAAAAGACTCTCCGGTACTTCCCGCTCTCCTCTGGCAAAAAGAATTGCTACAACGTCCCTCTCCCTGCTGGCCGTTACTACATCCGCACTTTCACCGTTTACGACAACTATGATGGTAAATCGCATTCCCCTTCCTTTGACGCTTCCGTCGAGGGCACTCTCGTCTTTTCCTGGCGCTCTCCTTGGCCCGAAAATCTCGCTCGCGATGGCGCTTACTCCGATCTCTTCGCTTTCGTCAAAGACGGTCAACTCGATTTCTGTTTTTACAGCATTGCCACCGACCCTCCTGTCATCGGCTCTCTCGAAGTCGTCCAGATCGATCCTTTGTCCTACAACTCCGCCGGAACCGGCGACAGCTACATTCTAGTCAACTACGGGAGACTCTCTCCCGGGTCATCACAATGGGGACCCGGTTTCACCACCGACCAGGACCTCTTCGGCCGCTCCTGGCAATCCGATTCTGGTTACCGAACCGCGAAATCCAAATCCGCTAGAGTTATGACTACTAACGAAAAAATAACGGGTACCGAGCAAGCACCGAATTACTTCCCGATGAAATTGTACCAATCGGCGGTGACAATTGACGGCGGTTTGGAATACGAATTAGCAGTGGATGCGAAGCTTGATTACATGGTGTGGTTTCATTTTGCGGAGTTTGATTCGACGGTTAAAAAGGCAGGGGAGAGGGTGTTCGATGTGCTGGTGAACGAGAAGAATGTTAGTAGAGTGGATATATTCAAGCAAGTGGGGAGCTTCGCAGCCTATAGTTTAAATTATACAGAGAAGAATTTGAGCAGTTCTGTGTTGAATGTGAAGTTGTTGCCTGTGGTAGGGGCTCCTTTGATCTGTGGACTTGAAAATTACGCCATGGTTCCAGCTGATTTGTCCACGGTTCCTGAGCAAGGTAAAAATGCCAAATTTATTATTTCTTTTGTTGATAATTATATGCATGTTGAGTTGAAAGTTACGTATGTGAGTTTGGTTGGTCCTTCAAGTGATTGGCTTCTTCAATCGGAAAGTTAGACTTTTTGGGTAGTTTTAGAAGGAACAATATGACAGTTCTCTACTTTTAATAATAACTATTACTATTTTCAAGTTGGCGTGGAGAGAAACGGGAGTTCTCTGATTGAAAACTGAAAGGTTTGATGTTTTTAAGTAAATGTTACATAATTGCTCTTAGGTTAAGTATGAAAGATTGCTCTTAGGTTAGTTTTTTATAGTTTAGCATTAATTTAAGCAAATTAGAAACGAAGTGTAGCACAGTCATTTTTTTATTTTGACTTTTGAGGCTGTGTTTGGTTGATGGAAATTTCAAAATTTCCAGAGAAATGTTATAATCACTCACTATTAATGGTCTTCCTATCACAGCCATTCACCAAGTGGATTTGATAGCTGATAGGTGGCTGTGATAAATGTAAGTTTGGCAAGATGGTGAATATGCTTGTCATTGTTCTAATTTCCTTAGAAACTGGAAGACTCTTCAATGGGCCTTAATGTTTAACATAGGTGTTAAGGGTCAGGACTTCGAAGAATAATGAACTGATTCTTGGAAGAAATATTGGTTTTCTTGGTTTAGAAAATGAGTAGGCAGAAAAAGTTGAGAAATTTGTAAATAATGTTTTTGCTAAAGAAACTGGTTAGGGTTTTTTTTCCATGACATTCATGTATGTGGCAATCTGTCTTGTAGTGATTGCAATGAGAGCATTGAAAGATTCGCTCCGTGTTCCTGACCGGATGGGATGGAATGGTGACCCTTGTGCTCCTACTGATTGGGATGCTTGGGAAGGAGTTACATGCCATGCTAACAAGAATGGAACAGGCCTTGTTATAACTCAAATGTAAGTGCTGTCTTTGTTCCTATTCTACAAATCACAACTCTCATACTCCAATGAAATAAAAATAAAAAGAAATAAACCTTTAAAGTAAAATGTAGATAACAATAAGAGCTTAGAGAGATGGAGTAATTTCTTAGTGAGAGGAAGTATTGTGTGAAGGTGGAGAGACAAAATGAGAGATAGTGGTAAAAGAGGATGAAGGTAATGTTTGAGAGACAAAGAATAACTTAGTAGAGAGGGACAAGCACAAGATCAGAAGATTCTAGATTAGATACACAAAGGTGTCTTTACACATGTTTTTCGTTTTTTTTTTTTTTTTTTTTAATTTGCTTTTGAATTGAAAAAAGAAATCTGCACTTCATTTGGGTCAACATGTCCAATTACTAATTTATTTTAGTTAGACAGAGCCATTATACCTGTACAAGAGTCAAAATTTTGTATTTTTTATGCTTATATCTATATATATATATATTGCGTATGCATATATTGCAGAGATCTTGGAAGTCAAGGCTTGAAGGGGTATATCGGTGACAAGATTAGTCTTTTGTCAAACTTGGTAAACCTGTAAGTATCTGCCGCCAACCTTTTATGTCCTGAACTCAGCATCATCAAACAAATGCATGGTGAATATTATATAGCAAAAATACAGGGAGTAAATGGTTTATTAAGCATGATTTCCTTTCTAAATTATCCCACTTGGAGCGTTTAACTCATAGCTTGTAGTCCTTTATTGTTGCTTCCTTTAAAATTACATGTCTTGTTAGTGTAAGTTCTATATCTTTTTAACCGTTCAGGAACTTAAGTGCTAATTCTTTGGAGGGCACTCTACCAATTGGGCTTGGTCAAATATCCCTTGCTCGACTGTAAGTTCTAATTATTTTATTAATATAAAGTGCACTGTAGACATTTATAACAGTCTTTCTTTTTTTTTTTTCCTAGCGCTTTTTCTCTCTTTTGTTAGATTTTTTTCTTAAATAGCAAAAATATTGTTGAATCAGGTTTATCTATATGCATTTTCATTGTTCATATTCTCTAAATCTTTATGGAGTAGTTTAAGATTGATATTTTTGCATTAACATTTCCTTCTCCATTTCCTACTTTTTTTTTTTTCCTTGATAGTTTCATTAAGTCATGGGCTTGCAAGGTGGTGGCTCAATCATTAGATGCGTGAATCAACATTTTTCATGAATTTAATGTATTGGTTTTGAATTGTATTTTTCAGGGATTTGTCAAACAACCAATTCTCAGGTTCCATACCAGAAAGTTTAACATCTTCAAGTCTGCAGCTTGTGTACGTGTTGTTCCCGTACTTTTCCTAGAATTTAACACAAATTTGCACTTTTTGATACATCATTGTTCTGCACATGCTTCTTATAATCCCTTTATTTATACAAATTGAACATTTTAATAATTGCAATTATCGCAATATGTTTTTGATAAATATTATGACATGGTAAGCCTTTTCCAACTATATGGGGCAAGCTATAGAATATATTGCCTCAGTGTTCTCTATGGACAGCTATATCTTAAGCAAGCAAAGTAAAAATAAGGTCCATTTTTATTCCATTCCATGTCAGTTTTGGTCTTCCTCTCCCCGTAGATATCCTCCATTAAATCACAAATTATCATTGGGGCATAGGAAGACTCCGACTTAGATAGGCAAACCACTGTAAACATGTTTCTCAAATTTTGTTCACGATGGGTGCCATGCCCTTCCTTTTCCCTTGTATGCTCATTCCCATTCTTTTATCTCCTTGCGCATACACATCCAACAATTTTTTTTTTCATAAGTTGATGTTTTAACCAACATGCAGTCTGTTATGGATCATATTGCATGAGTAGGATTTTGGGGACCTTATGACTGACCTTTCTATACATTCCCATCCTTTTGGGAAATTATGGAAAGATACCAAAATTGCTCCTTTGTGTAATCTATTTTAAGTCTCTCTCTCTCTCTCACACACACACACACACTGTGTATACCTCTATGTGTCCATATATTTTCTATGGCATGGTCCTTTGCTTTTAACATTACAATTTGCTTGTGAATTTGTCAGGAGACTTGATAATAACTTATTGGAAGGGCGAGTACCAGAAGAACTTTATTCTGTTGGTGTGCATGGCGGAACCATTTAGTATGTTATATTTCTGAATTTGATCTTTATTATGTTTTTATTTTGAGTAAACTTTCATAGCTGTAAAATTAATTTCCCTGCATGTTTTGCCTTTGTCTGATTTACATGCATGCATATAGATGTCAATTGTTTGCATTTGCCAACTTTTTCCCCTTTATCTAACTTTTCATCACTCTGTTCAACTAGTTTTGTGCCTTAGAGGAGATATGTATCTTCCTTGGCTTCATTTATTCTTTTCATATGTTGTTGGAAAATTAATTTCTCTCTTTTGCCCTTGATCTTAACTGTTGAATCTCATGACAACCTTTCTTATTCCCTTGTGTTAAAAACTGATCCCAGTTGTTTTATTCCTACTTTTTGATAAGCTTGAAACAAAATTTTTGGACCCTGATATGATAACTTAACTCCCTACCCCAAAAATATGTGGATCATGGTAATTGTGTTTAGCTTGCTTGCAAAGAGCTGCCTTGTCTTAAGAAGGTATTCTCTCACTATATGGCATAGAAAGACCGGATTTCTTTCTGGTTTCCACCACTCTTTCACTGAAGTTTGTAGTTTTCCTCTTATTTCATCTTTGAAGTAATTTCACATTCTATTGGTTTCTCATAGCAAATGCCCCAAATATATGTTGCAGTTCCAAGATTACATTATTTTCCTTTTAGAATTAGCTATGCTCATGAATATTCACATTGCAAAATACAACATTTGAAAATTGTTGAAATCGTTGTAGTCTTATATGAAGATTGCAAAGTGACACATTACTGTAAGCGTAGCCTGTAGGGTATAGATACCAAGTTGACAAATATACATCAGTACAGAATCTCCTTCGATGCTGTCAGAAAGTTAATTTCTTCACAGTAACTAAAAGGTCTTATTGAAAGTTTAGAAGCTTGATTAGAATCATAAATTGCTTGGGTTGAGTAAAAAATTCTCAAACTTGGCTCGACTTGGTACTCAAGCTTGAGTTTGTCTTTGATAATGAACAAGTCGAGTTGTAGTATTCATAGTTGACTTGACCTATTTAGACCCCTAACCTGGAGTTACATTTGATGGCATGACAGAGCCATACAGTTGATTAATTTAGGCTCCATTTGGTTGATGTTTTTCTCATTTGCCTTTTGTTTTCCATTCATTGTTTGCAAAAATAAAAAGGCAAAATGCAAATAGCAAAAGCATCTATTTTTACTTGCCAAATGCATGTCTAAGGTTGCTAGCTCCAATTTCATAAATAGCTATATTTTTATACAATTTTCTTATTCAATTAACTGTTTTATTTTCTCCAGTCTCTCTGGTAACAAAGGCTTGTGTGGAGTACCTCCTTTACCGGATTGTCCTCTGTTTTGGGAGAATGGCCACTTATCCAATGGTGCTAAAATTGCAATAGGCATATCATGCTTTGTTTTTGTTTTGGTGCTGCTATTGGTGATCTACATATTCTGTATCAGGCGGGGTAAAAATGATTATGATTTTGGTCTACCTTCAGACTTAATGTGTAAGTACTCAGAAATCAGAAGTTCAATTGTATTCATTGTCTCTGCTTGATTTGTAGATCAACATTAAGAGATATTATATATTTATGCTTGTCATCACATGACCTGTCCTTGCATATATTTCAACTATCACTCAAAGGGGCGAAAATAAGTACTGATAGGCTATTAGAGCACTCATGGAGACTCCAAAAATTCGAAGCTAACAAATTAGTTGTAACTACTAAACTTTAGGACCAATACTGCACTTGGTTCCAGTTTTGGGAGCTAAAGTTCTTATCAAGTGAATAAAAATGTAAGTTTAAATTCTTCCAATCTTAAAGCTAAATTTATTAGATCCATGATTGGAATCTTGAATGATATCCCAATCAAGGGCTAATCGAGGGACTCAAATTTAGATGAGTCTGATTGACTTGGAAATGGAGGTTCAATTAGCAGAACCAGGAGTATTTAGACATGATATGTTAGTTTATTGCAGGGAATAGGGCCTACATCTGTTAAGTGACAGTGAGAAGTGATTATTACTTTTCACAAGATGCTGATTTCCTCTAATGTTTGTTATAGACTAGTCTCCGCTGATGCAATTGTCAATGGGCATCTTCCCCTTACTAATTCCCTACATTTTTGCAAAACTTAAAATTTATTACACAATAGGGGTGGTACAGCCTTCCAGTGTTCCATGTTCTCTACAAGAGGGCATGAACACTACTGCCACATATTCCTATAATGTAAATTCATATTCATTTTGCACCAAAATTGCATTTGACATCTTGTTTTTCTGTGAAGCTTTTTTTGTTTAATCTACCCCTTTTTCCGGAGTATTCATTGATTTTATTGTTATTTTTATTGTGTTTGAAACCACAAATCTGATTTGCAGTTTTATAAGTTAATTTAAAATTATTCAAACTATTCTATATTCAATTAACATTCAAATGTGACTTTAGTTCTATGTTAGACTTTTTGTTTTAACAGCTAATTGGGTAGTTGCATTTTGCTTTTACTCTTCTGCTGTCATTTTGATTTTCACTTTGTGTGATAAACTTTTTACCGGCAGTTGCTGCAAAGAGGAACAGGTATCAAAGACAGAAGTCCTTGATGCTTCTTGAAATGGAGAGTCAGCACGCCAAGGGATTGCCATCACTTCCTCTCAATCCTCATTAGTGGCCTTCTTGAAAGGGAGAGTACTGATTTTGATATATGGTTGTCCACTCAGCAAGAGGGCATAGAGGGGACCATGGATGCAATTATAGAGAATACCATAGAAGATGTGAATTGCTGTACTTCATAAAAAGAGTTTGTGAATTTGGCCAATTTGAACCAAATGGGTCGTCGTAGAAAGTCGCATTCTCAGGTAAAATCCAATGTCTCTCGTTCTATGTTTTCTCACTGATTAACAAAGGGATAAGGTCACTGATGTATCATAACCCAATTTGTGACATTTGGTGAGCATAGATCATAAATCCACAATTCAGTTATGTAAATGACACCGCTAATGTGTACCAAGAGGTCCCAGGTTTGTTACCATTGCTAGATCAAGTTTTAGCTGATTCTTATCACAATACTATACAATACGGCGACTCTTTAATATGATTTTCTATCTTCTTATAGTAAGCTTTGCCTGTTCTTTGTTATTAAATTAGTTGATTCAGTAACTCTCTGTAGCTTGCGATTCGTGCATAAACTTATGTTGTGTCTATTGAATTAGTAGCTATTCAATTATTTGCGAGTTGCGACCAAGATATTATGGGTTATATTCTCATTATACATCTAATTCCAATAGTCTACACATGAATTTTGGCAATCCGAGGCATGCGAGTGGAGTGGAATCGAACCTGCCTGTTGTTTAGCCAAAAAAAATTAGTTGGATAGACGTTTAATTACTGGTTTTTTAAGGATAAAACGAAATGGGCACCCTTCTGCCAACTAATCTGCACTAAATGGGGAAGGAGCGGAATAAACACATGTTTTAGTAGTAAGCAATAATTGAGAAACAATCAAACTCGAAAGGGTTGCAATTTGCAAGAAGCAATCAGAGAAGGCTGCTAGGTTTTTCAGGTCCAAGATTTCAAATTTCAAGAAATCCAATGGCGCCAGTAATATTTTATCAACTTCAATAATCAAAATGGGTAGGTATCCAGGGAAGGGTAACAGTCAAGAGTTCCACATTTGATTAAACGAAAAAATGTCAAAAAAAAACTAAAGCAAGCAAGGGCTTTGACTTCCTTTTTTTTTTAAATTATTTCTATTATTATTACTGCTGAAAAATTATGGGAGAAATGGATGGAGTTGCAGGATCCTTAGGTGCAGTTCTGCCGCTTTGTTATATTGCTTATCTACCATGATCCTGATCAACAAGTCTTTCGAACTGGATTGGATGGCCCTAATTGTTACACCATCACCATGTGTTATAATCTCATTAGTCTGCTTTTCTAAAATTAATATACATATATAGTCTAAAATCAATTGAAATTTGAAAAACTAATTAAGGGTGTATTCTAGATGGCATATATTGAAAGATCAAAGAAAAATAATGTAAATTAGGTCTCTGGTTAACCCTAGTGTCATTTAATAAGTTTGGTATCAAAGTTGAAAGCTGTCGATTTTACATGAATAATACTAATACTAGTTGATTGTCAATTAATTCATATCGTATAGAACTGTGGCTTTAATTAACTTATGGAATTCTTAAAAGTTGACATTTAATAAAAACAATTTAACGGGTTAGACTGATGAAAAACTTGGGAGAGGAAGTTGAAGTTTGGAGTTGGCAAACCTAATAAATTAAGCCATCAATTTGGGGTTGGGGGGTCGCATTAAAACCCTGAATTCAGGTATTGACTTTGATCACCATGCAAACCATTAATCCCAAGTTGATTAGTGTTTAATGCAAACTCTGATCTTTTGCTTTAAATTTAATGTTTGGTTGATAAAACATTTAGAAATAACACAAGTACGACTTTCTCAAACAAGCATTTATACATTAGAATTATTATTTTTCTTTTTCGTCTTATTTTGCAGTCAAATTTCACCTTGCCAACTGCAAACTTTGAATATGCAATTTTACCTTTTGAAATAAACAAAGAAAAAAAATTCAGAAATCCGTACAACATATTGCTTTATTTAATACAAAGAAAATGAAGTCTACATGCGCAAATTTCCTGCAGATTTCAAATGATTTTTTCAACTTTAATTTACATGGGAGAAACAAGGCCACGCAGTCTGTCTGAAAGGAATTTTTTCCTTTTTTTTTTTCACCATTTTTTATGTGTTATTGTTTGTTGGTTTCTGCATAGAAAATGGGACCCAACAGATGTTAGATGGAACATGTTTTTCCAATCTAATTTTCAACCATTTTGGAGTCATTTGACATTAATACAGGTTTTAGACTACTGACTTTTCTTTTGAATTAATAACAATAAATTTGAGATTAAGAAAAAAAAAAAAAAGTAGAAATTAGGTTAATACTTTCTTTGCAGAAACAAGTGGCTCACCCTATTGAATGCAACGCTCGACACTTTCTTTCTTTTTCCTTTTTTTGACTTTTTTTTATAGCATCTAATTAATAGTATATAGCAAAACTTTATTTTCTATGGAAAAAATTACAATATTATGTGTATATATATATATATATATGTACATATAATGTAATACTAAAGATACTCATCAAACATTAAAAAATACAAGTATTCTTATAATTGTATGTTAGTATAATTTGATAAGTTAAGAAATATAACCATTAAAATATGGGATATCTTCTTGTCATCTCACTTGTTAATTTTTTTTCGGCATATTTTATTTATTGACATCTACCTTTGATTTAATTTTTATCTAATTTTTTTGATCTCTTAATCTCCACATAACCCATGTTTAATTTCTTGTTAAATCTATCTCTGTTGATCTATACTCCTATTCAATGTTATTTGGCAATTTGTTGACTTGGTTGACGTCGATATTTGCACAAGTCTTCTAATGCAAAAATAAATAAAAAGAAAAATTCTTCCATATTTTACTAAATTAAAAACAAAAATTGGCAAGTAGTGTCGCAAAGAGAGAATGACGATTGGCTAAGAAAGATGAGACCTTATCTGCAACAGAAGAAAACAAAAGCAGGGTTTCCAATACCCTTTGCCAGCCAGCCACAACTCCCATTCCAACTGGCCTAAATTTTATTTGACCTCGTGACGTTGAGTTTATGCGTGCCATGTCGGCAACATAATTTCATTTCATCTCTTAACTAGCCTGGCCAAGCCAATGCAAGGTTGCTTGAAATTTTCCTCGTAACGTTTTCAAGACGCTTTAATTTTAATTGCCATTTATCTTAATTTCCATTTATGTCTTAATTAATCAATTTTATTTTTGCATCAGAGGTATTGGATTTTTTTGTTTATATATTTGCATCCGATTTCAAACATAAACCAACACTTTTTATATATAAAAGAAAGATATTTGCTATCAACAACAAGAAGGATTCGATTGTTTTCTCTTTTAAAAAAAAACTAATATGTGATAAATTTTTGAATGAGTTAATGATCATTAGAAAATTAAATGGTTCGTGTAGAAGAAGAAACTTGGGACAGCTACTTTTGTTGTTCCTTGACCCATTATTTGGGAGATGAAAAGGCATTTATTTTTTGGTCAATATGAATGAGACCCCAACTGATCTACTTTATGAGAAATTGAGATGCCAACGGCAAAGTCATCAGGCTCTAGAAGCTAGTTAAATGAAACATCTCCTTTTCTTTGGTGTAAATTCTAAAACATTCAATTATAATGTTTCTTCACTCACTGTAATTTCTAGAAACACTGTGCTCAGTAGAATATTTTGGGTCTACTTTTTCCTGCGGCTGCTGTGCATCATCCGCATCTAATTCCATTTTGGGGGTGAAATGTGAACCCAAAACAGACGCAAAAAAGGCCAGACAAAGACAAAAACAACTGTTCCTTATCCCCTCAGTTCTTACCTTTCTTGTTCAGGTCTATCTGACAACCTCTAAGCCAATGAGATGACTTCTGTGGCATATGCTATACAGGGGGATGGTGGGGTTCCCTCTCCTCTATCTTCCACACCGATGCCTCTCATTCCTTCTTAGTCAACAAAAGCAACTCCCATTTGTATGAAACAGTAACCCCTATTGCCTAGTATCCCTACTTTACACCCTACTTGCCTCCACTGTACCCATTAATTTATTACCAGGTAGTTTCCTTTTTCTTACAATAATAGTCAGAAGTAACAACTATGTTGGCTTGCCTGTCTCTTTGATTTTCTTCAACTAGTGTTGGAAACCTCCATGCAAAGTTAGGCAACATTTGGTTTCGGTCCCATCACCCCAATTAGCTTCATTTGTCATTAACCTGCAGCCTCATTTAATTATTATATTTGAATCCAAGTAAAGTTTGTGGCTAAGCTCTAGAGATGATAGTATCATGTGGGTTGACCCGAAAAGTTGGGTCGTTGTCCAAGTCGGTAGAGGTTGAAGCAACAGTCAAAGGTTATAAAACCTTTAGTTTAGTTTCTCTGTTTCTATTATTAAATTATTATTAAACTAAACTCGATATAAAAAAAAATAAATTACACATAAAAAACAATTTTTTATTACTGCCACCATTTAAGTGTTCGAGAATGGTTGCGTGTGTGAACAGTTTGAAGAAGCAAGTTGGAACAATACGCCAATAAGGTAATAACAGAACAAACAAAAGGAGGAAGGGACATGGAATCATGCGTGTAGCTGACGAGGCAGATTGTTCCACAAAATCCAAACCAATATTTAATTATTTTATCCTTTTTTTTTTACAATAAAAAAGTTTAGATTTTTATTTTGTTAATTTAGGTTATGTGATGACAAAGAGATTAAAAAGAGAAAAAAATATACATATTTTTATTTTGTGGGACAGCTACTGGCTGTTTATGATAATATAAAATAATTATATGGTTGTGTTGAAATGGCTGCAATTGCAAAAGTAAATTTAGGATTAAGTTCATTTTAATAACTAATGGTGTGGCATTATCCTCTGTTTACAACAAGGTTATCTTTTCTTTTTGGGTTTTTTTTTTTTTTTTTTACTTTATAATTAAGTTGTGCATATCTTCTCATCTCTTTCTTCCATCGAATAGTCAATAACATAAATTATTACTGCCTTAAGAATGAAAATCCAAGTCTTTTGGATTCATTTTAATGAAAATATATCGTATAAGATGGTAATATTAGGTATCAATTATCAAAGATCTCACATAAAATAATTTACTATTGCATGATTATATGAAATACTTTGTAACAATGACTTCTGTATGTATAATTTATTATCAGTAAAACTAAATTTTAATCAGCAAATTAATTTCTTTGTAATTACTATTGATTTGAATCACATTTTCCTCAAGTTCTAATCAGGGGTCTTGATCGATATAGGTGATTAATTTTAACATTTTTCGTAACTAACATGTATATTTTAATATCATAATTGAATATCAAGTCACTAAGCAGTGACAGATTCATGTGTGAAAAGATAACGGGTGTTTATGAACATCTTTAAAAATTAAAAAAACAAAAAATTTAAGTAAAAATTTTTTTCTCAACGACTTCAAAATTTTCTCATAATAATTTTTTTTTTTTGACAGAATTGGTAAAGTCATTAATAGTTATATATATATATATACATCATAAATAAACACTAAAAAAAAGAAAAAAATCTTGGATCCATAATTGTGGTTGAATTTTTTTTGATGTTATCTCACGATGTCCTATAGTATAATGCAATTATTAAAATTTAATGATTTTAATCTTATTAGTTATCAGCCACAGAAAGAGTTGATTCCCCTTCATCTTCGTACCCTATTTTTAATTATAACTTATCATAATCCCCCATATCGTCAAATTTCTAGATACACCATGAGATCATCAAAGATACAAAAAGGCATATATACGTAGTCAAGATTTTTTTTTTGGTATTATGTATGATTATCTTTGTCATATATTAATTTAGGATCAAAAGCCACTAAAAAAGCATGTTTAAACCGAAATTTTCCTAAAGCGTGCATCCAAATTCAAGATTCCTCTGTTTGTATGATTTCGTCACGAGTGGAAAATTGCTTTCTTTTTAGGTTGCCATGGCATGGGCGTTGGTGGATCTGACGTGGGGCACCTGTCTTGAGTCATGTGTTATGTCATCCACAACCGAAAATGCCCTAGACAGTGGGAAAGTAGGTTTTTATGTTACATAAATAGAAAAATTATAATCCTTTTTGAGATAGCCACAAAGGTTTTATTTTAATGCCAAGTTAAAGAATTAGATAAAACACACATGGTTTTGCTTTAGAAGCATAGGATAGGCACTAAGAATTTGGGATTTTGCTGACATGTGAAATATGGTTAGACAAATTCTTCCTTATCCCTCTCTCAACATAGAAAAACCTCATCAAATTTTGTTTGGTTGTTTCGTGATAAGGTAATAAGTGTATGTGACAACATTTTTGAAATTAAAAAAACAATCGAGATCGTTATGTAAATTAATTAAGATTTCTTTGTGGAAAAAAGTGAAAAACTTTTCCACTCTAATAAGGGGTTTACCTAAACTTGAAAAGGACTTCATAATTCATATATATATATATATATATATGCAATCAATTGATAGGCATGGGCAGGGTGAGGGTGAGAGGCAGGCAAGCAAAGAGATAAAGCACGAGAGATGATGGATGGACCATCCATTCAAAACCCATTATGAAATGAAAGGATTTGTGGAGATGAAGATGATGATTAAAGCAAGGAAAGGAAAGGAAAGTGCAGCCGACAGTTGTTGATCATCAACTTTATTTATCCCACATATGTGATAAATTACATCACATCCACGTTCAGATTAGGAGTTAATGAGATTGTTTTAAACCAGTTTGACACATTGTTTAGTGAAATCAAACATGTGATAGCCCGCAAGATTATAATGTAGATTAATCCTTAAACAAAAATAAAAAGTTGTCGTGGGAGAGACTTTAGTAATTAAATTAATTAATTTAGTAGCATATTAAAAACAAAAAAATAAATAAATTGAGTTCATATTTAATACATTGATGATATATAAATATTATAAATTATAATAAATTATATGATGATATCTCTTTAATATAAACTCAAATTAAAAAATAATCAGATCTATTTCATTATCATATTCGATGAAACAAGTCATTGGCGTAGAGTTAGAGATAGTATTAGTAAGATTGTTAGATAAAGGTTGGGGGGGGGGGGGGGGGGGGGGGGGGGGGAGACGTGACCCCTACCGTTTGGTTGGATACCGGCAGCCGACCTAAATCTGGAAAGTTGACAACGTAAGAGAATCACAAACCATCTCAACATACAAAATCAATTTGGATTTCTTTCTTTCCCGGGAATGGAAAAGAAGGAAAAGAGAATCCTTTTTTATACGAATTCAGAGACAGACAGAATCCTCACCTAATATTAAAAAAAAAAAAAAGCTATGCTTTTTAATTGTCTTTTTCACTCTCATTTGTTTTTAAATGAAATTAATTTAATTACAGGTTAAAATCGAACTTAATTTTCCTGTTATATTCTTCAGAAGATTGATGTTCATGTTAAAATGAATGCATCATGCATGGGCATCTCGTGAAATTGAAATCATCAATTTGGTGTGTTTTGCATGGGAATTTAATGCCTTTTTTTTTTTTTTCCTTTTATGTGTACAAAAGCATATCTGTTTCTGTACTAAAACAAATCTTATCCTCTTTTTTTTTTTAATGGAGATGGAGCAAGTCTGTTCCCCTCGTTACTGACTTATGTGTGAATATGCTGTTAGTAATTTCAATCTTTATCCACTTCAATTGCGCTATAACCAAAAAGCAAAAAAAAAAAAAAAAAAAAAAAAAAGGAAAACTAAGTTTTATCTTGTAGTGAACTTTTTTGTACCATGGATCAACAGAATTCTCCTTTGGCATCATAATGCCCTGGATCTATTCTAAAATGAAATTATTCCCTATCATTTGGATTATGAATTATTCAACTTTGCCTCACTTCATTCACCTAAACCTTCTGATTTTATTTTCTGTTTAAATTTCTCGATTTTTCCTTATTCTCACACAATAATTTTGCTATGTACATTAGATTCAATTGCTTTTAAATTTTTAAAAAAGAATTATTGATGCCAAATTTCAACTTGGGAATCAAAAACTTAAAATCATATAAAAAAAAAAAGGTTAAAGATAAAAATAAAAAATATTTTTTGTGTTGCACTTTAACACTCGTGTTATAAATTAACTATGAGATGTAGGAAAGACAGAAGAGAATTGATAAAATAGAAGAAAAATCAGATAAATAAATAATACTCAAATTATCTTATTTATAAGCATAAAACAAAAGCTTTATAAAATAAAATAATAATAAAAATAACATATCAAATTAACGTAACATATAACATTGACTTAAAAATAAAATATATCTCTCACTATTTGTTGATAATATCTAATTAAAAAAAATTAATTTATGTTTTGAACTCAAAAATACCATTAACAAGAATGTTTTAACACTTAAAAATATGTGACTCATCTTCTCAAAGCAGAGAAATGGAAGATGATGAAGATGATGATTGAGGGAACACAGAAGCTGTGCTTCCCACTTGTCAGCATGATTGATAGATAATGTTCATTAGTTATCCATTGCTTCTTTTTTTACATTTTACACGTTCCCACTTGTAAGGGTAACGAGTGGCGTTAACAGAAACACAGCTTTTCCGTATCATTATACGAACAACACCGTACATCTACCTTTTTTTTTTTTTTTGAAAAATCTCTCTTTCTCTCTCTGCCTCTCTTTTTTTTTTTTTTTTTCTTTTCTTTAAAAAGATAAAATAATTTTAAAATCTTACGGAACACAACAAACCAGATTTTCCATGTAAAAGACAAATCCATTTCCAAGTTAATCTCCAAATTGGAATCTCAAAATAGGACCCTACCCTACCCCAACCAAACCAAACCAAACCAAACCAAAAACCACAGACCCACCGTTTCTAGCGGTCGGTTTTTAATCAACTTGCAGTGGGTCCCCCTCCTCCTCCTTAGGTTAGAGGACTACTCCGTACAACAACTAGTGGTGGCAGTATCTTTCATCTTCAATCTTCATTGCCAGGATAAATTTAATGTCATGAATCAAATAACGTCAACTCAATTTAAAAAATTATTTAAAATCTAAATTAAAGTTACAATGATAAAATGAAATTAAAGATATTTATGTTTTTCTAAATTTTAAAATAAAATTTTATTTATTCAAATGCATTTAAAAAACTTACTTAATCATCATATCCTTAACTTTCTTTATTTTTTTCAAACACATTTATTATTTTATTTTCACCTACATAATAGATGTGCCAAATCTAATAATATTTACTCAATATGATAAGAAATACTATATAAAAATTAATGAGATACAAAAGCTACTTAGATTTAAAGAGTTAGGATATGATATGGATGGCATGGTGGTTTTGGTTTTGCATTATTGTAGTGCATGAACAAGGAAAGGGTAAAAGAGAGAAGGGGAAACCCACTTGGGTGCAGAAAATGTCAATGTTGGTTGGAAATAATAATAATAATAATAATAATAATAATAAGGGAAATGGAAAGGAGGAAGGGAGGGGGGGGGGGGTCGAGGAGATACTAAGGTGAAGAACCTAGCCAATAAAGACAAACCAAAGCCTTGGAGAAGAGAAGGAATCAAATGAAGGCAGCCAGGTCATACTCTTATGGGAATTTTCTTTCTTGTTGGATGAGCCTTTGTCTTCAATGTCTAATGTCTATCCATTCCATCCATCCATCCATCCCCTTAAGCTTTCAGATCCAGACCCCACTGCCCATCCTAGTGGAACTCAAAAACTCAATGTTTATCTGGATTCTAATTGGTTGTAATAAAAGCCAACAGATTTTGATGAAGCATGCAGCAGCAGCAGCGGCGCTATCAGATAAGATTATTATCATTAACATATAATAAAAAAATTTATTTATATTCGTGTAAAAATTACATATTTTTATTTTTAAATTATAATAATTAAATATAAATTTATAAATTTAATTTTAATCTAAAAATTAAAATAATTAAATGTACTATAAATGCTTCAACAGAGAAAGAGAAAAAAAAAATCAGGGCGTGCCATGCTGGTGGTTAGCAGCAAGCAGCAAAGCTCAGGGGGGATGAACTTAAGTAATACACGGTCCACAGTCATGTGAACCCCATCACTTGCTCATTTGGGTCCCACCTTACATACACAGCCCACAACATTCGCATACTGTTGACTCTTCCTCTCTCTTTTTTTTTTTTTTTTTTCTGTTTTTGTTTTTTTCTCAAAATTCGTTTTTCTGCCTTCTGTCCCAAGTCTCTCTCTCCATGAATCTTCCTGGTTTCTTTGCAAATGCATTTAATTAATTAATAATTGATTTAGAACAATTACCAATCCCCTATATATACAATACATCACCACATAATCCTTCAAACAAAACCCAGCACACGCCTCTCTTTTCTTGTACCTTTATTAGGTAAAAAAAAAAAAAAACCAGCACAAACAACAAACAAAATCCTCTCTGCTCTCTCTTTTTACGGTTTGTACAACCCAAAAGAAAAGAAAAAATGGATGGAAGCTGCATAGATGAAAGCACAACTAGTGATTCCATAGCCATATCCGTTTCTACATCAAATATTTCACCTTTGCCTCCGGTTACCAAATCTCCCGACTCTATCTGCCGAGTGGGAAGTGGAACCAGCGTGATTGTGGATTCTGAAGCTGGGGTCGAAGCTGAATCAAGAAAACTACCTTCTTCCAAGTACAAAGGCGTTGTTCCTCAACCCAACGGCCGATGGGGTGCTCAGATATACGAGAAACACCAACGTGTCTGGCTTGGAACTTTCAATGAAGAAGATGAGGCTGCCAAAGCGTATGACATAGCTGCACAAAGGTTTCGGGGTCGAGATGCCGTGACTAACTTCAAACACCTCCAAGAAACTGAGGAAGACGACATCGAAACGGCCTTCCTGAATTCACATTCCAAGGCTGAAATCGTCGACATGTTGCGTAAGCATACTTACAACGATGAACTTGAGCAGAGTCGGAGAAGCTATGGCTTCGATGGGAATGGGAAACGTGTGGTCAGAACCGACGCTGGTTTTGGTTCCTTAGGTCTTGAGCTGAAAGCGCGTGAACAGCTTTTCGAAAAAGCTGTGACTCCAAGCGATGTGGGTAAGTTGAACCGACTTGTAATACCAAAGCAGCATGCGGAGAAGTACTTCCCATTGCAAAGTGGAATTGCATCTTCGAAGGGTGTTCTTTTGAACTTGGAAGATGTGACTGGCAAAGTATGGAGGTTTAGGTATTCCTATTGGAATAGTAGCCAAAGTTATGTCTTAACAAAGGGATGGAGCCGCTTTGTTAAGGAGAAGAACCTTAAAGCCGGTGACATTGTTAGCTTTCATAGATCAACGGGACCGGAGAAGCAGCTTTACATTGACTGGAAAGCAAGAACAGGATTGGCTTCAGGTTTGGAAAAGCCGGTTGGGCCGGTTCAAATGGTCAGGCTATTTGGGGTCAACATATTTAAAACTCCTGGCAGTGAAAATGCTGGTCTAGGTGGATGCCATGGGAAAAGGACCAGAGAAATGGAGCTGCTGGAATTTGAGTGTAGCAAGAAACAAAGGGTAATCGATGCTTTGTAACGTTACCTAATTACCCTTTTGTTGTGGTTTTGTGAATCTTAAGAGGTACATGGGAGGGAGGGGGTGTAGTTGCAAGTTGTAAAAGTTGAATTGTATATTACAAGACAAAAAGCTGAAGAAAGCTGAAATTATGTGTAACGTAATACATTTCTTCCAAGAAAAACAAGTGGAAAAAAATTGAAATGGATAACTGTCAATTTGCTCTGTTCATGCCTTTGTGTACTGTTCTATATTAATTTTATGACCTAGCTCTTTTGTGGTGTTGTTGCTTTCCCCAAAATATCTCAATGTTCATTTGTTGACAAACTATGCTTCATTTCGGTCCAGAATAGGGGGGTATGGAGATAGAAAGAAAGTAATTAGGTATACATGCAAAGAAAGAACCTTAATTTGTCCCCAAAAATTAGTTGTTGGCTTGGCCAGCTAACTGGTTACTGTGTCATGATTTGTCCAATAATAAAGATGTAGTTTGCTTTTTCATTCCATGATCTTAACTCATTTGGTTTTGGAGGAATGAAGATTCGGATAAATATCTTTTCTCTTATATTAATAAATAAGGTATAATGTGGAAATTTATCATTATGTTTATATGATTGGTTCAGATCTACTATTAATCTTTTAATTGGTATAATTTTATTATTATGCTTATAATTTTGAAAAAAAATTTACTATCATAGTTCAAATCTTGGAACAATTAAAAAGTATTCATTGAAAAATTCTGTTTAAAATATTTTACGGTTCAAAAAATAATTTTGAAGATATGGCAGCAAAACAATAATAAGCTAAAATCTAAAATTTTCTTTTTTATTTTATTTATTTTTTATCATTATGGTATTTTCTATCAACTATAATGTCACATAATCCAAATTTTCTTTTTCTTATTTTATTTTTCTTATTTCATGATGACAGTTTCTACTATTTATAATACAACATCCTATTTTTTCAGCTGATATTGGTATTTTCTCCTTGTCATATTTTTTCAGATTTGTTTGAATTATAAAACAAATTTAGACAGAAATTTACACTGAATATTCTTTAATTGCTCTAAAATTTAAAATATAATAATAAATTTGCTCCTAAATTAAAAGCATAGTCATAAATTACACCAATTGAAGTATTAGTAATAAATTTAGACCACTCACATAATTAGTGATAAATTTTGTACCTTATCCCTATAGTAACAATAAAATTAACAGTCTTAATATGTTATAGTCCAAGTAGATGATGATAAAGGTTGGTAGCATACTGCATACTGCAAATGAACAAATTAATTAGGTCTTGGAGCATGAAGTTTGTAGAAGGATGCAGAGATTTGAAATCTCTTTTTGTTTTCCCAATTAATTATGTATGTGGTAATGGAGAGGAGAGATTTTAACTATTAATTTAGATTTCATTACATAGTTTAAGAAAGTGGTTTCTTGCCATCAAGCAAACAACTTGAAAAGGAAAGCTCCATATTTCGTAATCAGGAGGCTTAAAAGCATCCAATCTGGTGGAGGTGATGTAATCTTTTTCATAGCAAAAAGAGTATGAAAATCCAGGAAATGTGGTAATTTAATGGCACATGGTTCTGATCTGATGACAGAATCCAGGTCATAAATCATGACTAATCACTTTCAAAATGCAAGGGAACCTAGATCAATTACAATCAAGATTGAGGTGATTATTAAAGAGGTTTTGCACAAATAGTAGTCCAAGTTCATCCAACCATTCAGATTTAACAAAATTTGAGAAGATCCGAATATCAGGTTTCATTGTATGATGATGATGGAATCTTTTGCCTGAAAATGCTCTCCTAAAAAACACTTATTTGTTTTCATTACCTTGTCTAGTTTCTAATACAAGCAAACTCTTAATTGAACATGCAATGGGGATTTATGCCTGTTGTATAATTAAAATGCTTTTGACATTGTTTTTCTACTGCAAAATGTCAAAACTGATCAAAACCCATGGGGTTCATGTCAACATAATTGCTTGCAGTCAAATTAAGGTGGCATTTTCTAATGAAGTTCGTACTTCATAATACAATACTTAATCGCTAATCACTCACAAATCCACATGAGATCATTGACATTTTTTCCCCGCAATTACTTGACGAGTTCAAGTTGGAAACATATACGAATTTTAAAAGCAAATTAACCAAGATTTGATTCCAAGTGGTTTTTATAAAAGACTTTAAGCAGATGGAAAAGATCTATTCATGATTTCGTCCACATGAGTAAGAATTTTCCGTGAATGTTCCTCCTAAGTTCCAAAGAAATTGCCTCACATGATTCTTGGCCTCTCTCTTTCTTTGAAATTCATCAACCTCAATATTTTAGATATAGTATTTGACTCTATTTATATATATATATATATATATGGAGAATTTTCCATTATCTTGGTATCCTCCTTTTCTTGATATTAGTCGAAAACACATGGAAAACATAGTTGAGTTTTGATGCCTGCTACATTTTGGATCCATCCTTAAAAGACATGCTTTCGAAACCTATGTATACGAATTGCGCGGTATTTGACTGCAGGCAAAGATTACATGTGAACGTACATTATTGTGTGCTTCAAGTGGTAGAATTTTTTGGTGTGGTGGGCAGTGCCCACTCCGAATAGAAGTGTTGACAATTATTGATAGGCCCAAAGTTCCAAATTTGTGGGGGCCTTAGGAATGGGCATCCTTAACCAATATTATTGTTGTCATATTCCAAAAAAAAAAAAAAAGGAGATAATATAATGATGATTTAACATCTCACCAAAAGCTTTTAAAATTTCTAGCTTTTTCTCTTGAAGCTATGAGAAGAACAAATTTTATGGTTTGAAACATATAATGTAAGTATATACTATGGTATAGTATGAATGTTATGGATAAGCCCATAGGCCCAATTGAGAGGATACGTTACATGTCCTGATCTTTGGATCTCATATATGTAGATTACTCCATAAATATGGGGATCAAAGAGGTTTAAAGGTAAGCCACAATCTCCCCTAATCTCTTTCTTCTTTATTGTTCTTCATTCTTTAATAAATTTGAACTTAGTCAATAATGGGTTTTAGCCAGAGTAGCCTCTGGCCGTGGCCTCCTCCCTATTTGCTAATTTTCCAATCCCGGGGACGGTTTGGAGGCTGGCTGTTGGGCTTATATAGTAAGCCCATCACAGCTGCAAATTGTAAAGAAATATAATGAGATGGCTAGTATTTCTTTTCCTTATGATTTTGTCATGTTGCATGTTTATTCACTGGAATATCAATCTAATTACTAGCTGGAACTATAAAACTAAACAATAGAGTACTCTTAAGTCTCAACAAATTACCATTAATTTGCAAAAAGAAAATGGCACTACTTTGACAAAAAGGATGATGGTATATATAATATAAGGGAGCTAATGCTATGGTACGGAATAATATTCCATGTTTATGCATTATATATATAGCTAGGCACCATAGTTATACTAACATGAAACAGGTCACTCTAGCCATATCAATGACAATTTATTTGCAGACTTAATTAGAATCCAGTGCTTTGGCTGCACTTTTCTTTCAGTTCCTCAGCTCTACTCCGAATAACCTTCCCTTCTTCACCCTCCATCACCATCCTCACCACTCTCTTTATCTCTTCTCTTCCAAAAATTGTCTGCCCTGTATGCCTCCACTCTTAGCCTAACAGCAACTCCAATATCTCCACTAGCAATGCCGCGTTCATTCTTTGCTCAGCATAAAAAGGCCATTTGATCATTGGCACGCGGTGAGCTATGCTTTCCAGCAATGAGTTCCGTCCGCAGTGAGACACGAATCCGCCTGTAGAAGGATGGCCCAGGATGGCAACTTGTGAGCCCATGATGGCACACCACTAATCCCACACCTTGAGTCATGTTCAAGAACTCTTTAGGCAAATAGGCTTTGGGGTCATTCACTTCAATCGCTGCGTTAAACAATGTACCTGCACCGGTAGCATCCGTTGGCTTCCTTACCACATATATGAATCTTTGTTGGCTCAGCTCTAGACCCCAAGCCAACTCAGTCTGCTGCTCCAATGACAGTCCCAAAACTTTCAAATGTCACAAAGATCAAAGATAACCGATCGACAGTCCAAGACAAAATTATAGTTTTCCGCTTTCAGTGTGATTATGCATGTTTTGTTCCCTTGACCATATGAAATTGTTTGCTTCAAATAAATATTATTTAATTATAATGGCATACATATATGGTCCTGTATTTCTTTCCTTTAGTTGAGTTACAATATCTGACAATTTCAAAGCTGAATGGCATATCATTCGGATACATTTCTTGAACTCTTCACTTCCACATCTTTGCATTAAACCAACCACATCTAGTACGTATTAGAAGATCTGGCAGTCGGTCTAGGTCAAAAACGACTAGCTGTTTTGTCTTTTCCTAATATATTTGGCCCATACAGCTGTTTATGGGAGAAAAAAAAATGCAATGGCCTGCATTTTTCCTTACTAGTTGGTTGTCTATACTTGAATATAAAACCCCACGTCTTCATCAACAAATATCTATAAACAACTACGCATGATTTTATCTATATAAATTATTTATCCATGAAACTAATGAGGAATATGGTAAGGTAAATGATTGATTGATAAAGATTGAAAAGTAAGGACCTTATTTATGTTTATTTTCTCTACAGATGTCAATTGATGAAAGTAGGTTAAAGGGTAAAAAAAAAATCTTTGAATTATAATAATTAAAAATATTATTTAAGCTTTTAATATTTTATTAAATCAATTAATCTTTGAATTATAATCAATTAAACTTTTAAAGGTATTTTAGAGTGAGAGAAGAAAAAGAAAAAGAAAAAAAGCTTATTTTATTTAATTTTTATATATATTAATTGAGTTACATGACAAATTTTAATATATTTTATTGATATCCAATAAAATTTTATCTTAATTGATAAAAAAAATTAATAGTGTTAATTTTTTTCATTTAAATAAGAGTTTAGTTAAATGAAAATAAATATTACAAAAATTGATCAATTATAATAAAAAAATAAAGATATAGATTTTTTTAATTATAATTTAACAGTTTTTTATACGTCATGAAAATATTATTGAAATTAATGAAAAATAAGGTTTTTTTTCATTAAATTAAAAAAAATCAAGTAAAACATTATTAATGGTAGATAAATATGAATCTAGATAGAATATTAACTCCAATTTTAAAAGATTTAATGGAAGCTTTTTTTAGATTTGTTTGGATTAAGTAAAGATATTCCAAGACAATCAAATTTACTTGATATGCAAGTTAATTGATCTATAAAAAAGGAAGGACTCGAGACACTACAATTGGATTGTTATTACTCTAAGTAGAACCCCCACTTTTTATTTTAATAACAGTTGCTGTTATGTGGCCAAAATTAGAATAATTCCGCATAGAAACTAGCACCAACCTCATAGGATTCCATCAGCTTCTCTGTCATTCAACTCTGTTACAATGGCATCTTCCAGCTCTCTGCAAGCAATCTCTTCTGTCAAGTTGGCTGAATATTGCAGCTCAGCTTCCCAATCTCACAGAAATTTAGGTTCCAATCTCTCATGTTCAAAGCCTTTTCCCTTCCATCATGACCTCAACATCTCATCAACCCGTAAATCAAGAACCCCCAAGCCCTTCATCCCCACAGCCTTCTTCTTCAACAAGTCAAAGCAGTGCACAACAGATACTCCAAAGCCCAGTAAGTACTTCAAATTCTCCTTTTATTTTCGTTGTTGTCCTCAAAATTTTATAATTAATTTCAACGTTTGGGTTTCAGTAAAAGTTCAAGAACTCTACGTTTATGAAATCAACGAGAGAGACAGAAACAGCCCTGCAGTTTTAAAACTAAGCCACAAACCGGTCAACTCTCTGGGTGATCTGGTTCCTTTCACCAACAAGCTCTACTCTGGAGACCTACAAAAAAGGTTAGGCATTACAGCTGGACTGTGCGTGCTAATCCAAAACGTTCCGGAGAAAAAAGGTGATCGCTATGAAGCCGTTTACAGCTTCTACTTTGGTGACTATGGCCATTTGTCCGTCCAGGGACCATATTTAACGTATGAGGATACCTACTTGGCCGTGACGGGAGGTTCTGGGATCTTTGAGGGAGCGTACGGACAGGTCAAGTTACAGCAGATAATTTTTCCGATCAAGTTGTTTTATACTTTCTACTTGAAAGGGATACCTGATTTGCCAGCTGAGCTTCTAGGGAAGCCGGTGGCTCCATCGCCTGCCGTCCAGCCTTCTGCGGCTGCTCAAGCTACCGAGCCTCATGGGAGTATTCCAAACTTTACCAACTGAGAGATCGCAAGTACTAGCGGCTTGAATTATTAACTATTTGTTTATATATATATTAAAACATAGTTTTTCCTTATTTTTCAATGCAAGATATTATTAGTTTCCTATCTTCAGATCATTGTTCAAGTAATTGGTCAGACGCATATGATATGCATCTATGAAATTCCAAAAGCACCTCGATCGTCTAACCATGAATATGGATGTCCAATTTGTATTATAATATTCAAATAACTAAGCAGGCACATTTGTCTTGTTGAAAGTTAGAGCAGCCCGCATAGGTATTTCCAATCTTAAAAAGACTTGCTAGAGTCCATGCTGAATCTGAACATTTACAGGAGTAATAAATTTTATACCTTCAGTTCGATGCGCCGATGCCCATAAGCAAAGATTTATGTACTTAAGCTAAATTGAAATTTGCTTTATTGAATGTTTTATTATTTGTGCAAAAGGAAACTCAGAAGAGTATATATGTTTTGGTTAACCAGGAAAAATTAGTCGTAAAGCTGCAGATCGAGTCTCTGAATGATACTCTAATACATATTCTTCACTAATCGAGCTTCAAACCCCTCGTTGCTAACCCTCTTCTTAATTGGTCAAGGTGTACAAATTTATTTGCTTCCCCTGCATGCGTGTGAATGAAATTTTGAAACTCAGCTATTGATTATTAATATTACTACATTTTTTGGTTGAATTTTTTTATAAACCAACTCCTAAATAATAAAGCAACTTAAACAAATTCCATGATGAAGGGAGTCGACATGATCAAGGGTTTTTTTTTTTTTTCCTAGCAAATGAAAGTACCTACTAGTGGCAGTATTTGTTTAACATCCAATATGAGTGACGTGACTGCATTCTTACCAAGTGCTCAAGTTACTCCATCTTGTCTTCTCTTATCTACTCACTTTGCTTGTTGGATTCCGAATATTGTTTGAATGACGTACAGGAAAGCCAAGAAATAAAGTAGAAAACAAAAGAGTACTTGTAGTAACGGATGGGTTTGCATTGTAATATTAGCACATTGTGACATGAATGATGAGAAAGATAAAGCAAAGACCGCTAACTTTTTTTTTAATAAAAAAATTTAAAAATAAATAAATAATTCAGTTTATCAAATCAAAATAAAATATTTTTTATTTAACAACATAAAAATAACGATTATAAATTATATATTTAAGATAATTTAAATAAAAAGTCAGACTTTAACTTCGACTCAAAATATTTATATCAAAGAAAACAATCCATATTGAGCGAACTAATTTTTTATCAGTGGTTGCTGAGTCTTCATCGTATGATAAAGGAAACTCGGAAAACCTAAGACGGAGAGTAATTGTAATGCATGTATAGGGGTTTCCATGGCCGCCCTTCTCATGTTTCCCCACCTGACTCTGCCAATGTCACTGCCATTGCCACTCAAAAGTCGGTAACTCATCTACTTTTAATTCATTTTTGTCTTTTTCCCTTCCTTCAACTTCCCACCTATCCTATTCAAGATTAATCTTTGACCTTAGGGTAATTAATATAATCGGTAATTATTGGTGCAGCCCCTCACGGAATACATAAATATGTATGACTTGTTTTAATTTGATTGTTTCAACGAATTGTCATTCATGAGAAATCAAAGGGATGGGCTATGCTTCCAAGCAATAATAAACTGACCTAAAAGTTTAGTCTTGGCCCAGTAGAATATTATACTTTTAAAATCAAAATGTACAATAAAACTGGATGAATTTTAAAATAATTTTTATATCCAAAAAAAGGAAAATTGCATCAGAAAAGTTGAAATTAGAATGAAGGAACATGGATTAAAATATGGCTTTGAGATTTTGACAATATTAATCATAATTCCCTCCCTTACAGACGGTAGGATTGGGAAGTTGGGACTCAAAATCAATCAAATCAAATAAATTAATTTTGACAGCTTATAAAAGAAAAAAGTTTTTTAATTTGTCATTTTATTTGGATTGAAACAGGACGAGGAGCATTCGTACCTACAGGTTTGATAATTTAAAATAAAATAAAATAAAATGATATAATATAGTTATAACATTAAAAATATAAAAATAATATAATTTAAATTTTAATAATTATTATAAAATATCACATATAATTTTTATATAAAATATAATAAAACTATATAAATTTTAATATTTTGCATAATATAAAATTTACCTGAATCAAGGAATTTTGATTCTCGTTCCATGATCCAGATCAACAGCTTATTTTATGTTTTGTGCTTGCTCTTTCAGCTTTTCGTTGTTTTATTTTTGAAGACTTCGGCTCCATTGAGCTTAGCCCAGCCACGGTATACAATTTTAAAAGCTACTATGAAACAAGGGATTTTCCTTAATTAATTTATTTTTTGCAGTGTTGGCAGAATTGGATTAATCAATTAAATAAAAAATTAGTGATCAATTCATTCTTAAACTTAACAAAACCTAAGTCACAGCAAATCAAATCAAGAATCAATCTAAATTTAATTAAATATTTTGTAAATGATAAAATTTTAATTTTTATAACTTTGAAATTTTATTACTATACTAACCATTAAATTAAAATTTTATTTAATAAATATTTATCATATTTAATATAATTTAATAATAAATAATATATTTAAAATATAATTAATGTTTTAATTAAACAGACCAATTAAAGCTAAAACCAAACTTCCAAGCAATTCAACTTGCAGTCTGGTCATTAAATCATTGCTTTTTTTTGGTTTTAAATCTCAATCTTCTCCATATGATTTTACTTGAAAATAATTATCTTACCCCACAAGTCAACAATGGTGGGAAAACTTATCCGAATATTCAGCAGTTGAAAATGATGACAGCTCTATCTACAATTTCCAATCATAATCCGCTAGTTGGCATGACATTGACAGTGGGGTCTACTACAGGTCCCATCTGACTGGCTGTCATTGGGCTGTCTTGCCACGCGCATTAAGCCGCGAGTGCGTTAAGCAACAGAAGCCGGGAATCGTAAAATGAGGAGAAAGTGGGTTACGAGAGAAAAGATGACCCTTGAGAGAGTGAAGGGCCAGATTACAAATGACAAGGTTTTAATGGATACGCGGCGGGGGAAAGTGTGATTGCACGCTCACAAGATTCCCCGTCCGTTGGACAACACTTCTCGTGATTCCTCGCCAGCACCTGGTTTATTCGCTTCACAAGTTTAATATTTTAATCTTAAAAAAAAATAAAATCCTAGGCTTAATAAAGACAAAAAAAAAGGAAAAAGATAAAGTAGATCATATCCTGCGACCATCCCTACGGTGATAATATTCCCAAGCATGCTTTGATTGGATAGATGGTCATCCGATGCACTATCATAAAAATTTTTAATATAATATTTAAATTATTAATTTATTATTTAATATTATTTAATTTAATATAATTAGTTTAAATAATAATATGTAAATAAATAAAATTTTAAATATTATATTAATTAATAAGTTTATAATTTATACATAGTATTAAAGTTTTTTTTAATTAAATATTTTATTATATATTTAAAAATAATTAATAAATAATGATGCAGATTTTAAGTTCTTTTAAAAGGATATTCGCGTCAAATAATATTGTATGTTGTATTGTCAATTCTTTCTTGTTCGGAAAATAAAATTTCCAATTTCCAAGTAGACAACACATCACAAATATGACGTTCCCTTGAGTATACTACGTGGCAGGCATGCAATTAGTAGAAACCTCAAAACAAACGTAGGAACGGTCTTACCCTATCTCTCAAAAAACAAAAAAAAAAAAGAAAATCCAGAGTAAAAAAAGTCATTGATCCTATCTGAAAACAAAAATGGGGAAAGGAACAAAAATGGGGGAAGGTAGAGAAGCGACGTCATTGCCAGCCCAACCAGACACGACCAAAAGCGAATCACTCTTTGGAATATTCAACTCTCTCTCTGTCTCTCTGTCTCTCTCTCTCTCTCTCTCTTGCCTTTATATATCACTAACTCTCTCTCTAACAAAACACGTCTAAGATTCGTTTTGTTACGCGACGCCCCGACTTTGATTTTTTTTTCTCTCTTAATTTTCTTTGAATCCTTTCTCTTCGAAATCCATAAATATAAACTGTTTTTTCTTAAAAAATAATTCCTTTTATTTTGTTTTTGTCTTGGTACCCGAGTTTATTCTCCTCGTGATTCTTTTTGGATCCTTTTATTCTTTTTTCTTTTTCGCACCTTCCCTTCGCCAGTCTGCTTCTCTCATCTTGTTCGGATCTATCTATGCTGTTTGGTCTGAAAACCAACCTTTTCCCTTTATAATTGTCCTCCGCTGTGTCTTTAATCTCGGTCTGGAAAAAAGAGGAAGAAGAAAAAGGTTTAAGTGAGGAAAAAAGGTAATGATAAAGATGGATTACGCTCAAAAAAGGCGCCGATGCCATGAATATGTGGAAGCTTTAGAAGAAGAACGACGTAAAATTCAAGTCTTTCAACGGGAGCTTCCTTTGTGTTTGGAGCTTGTAACCCAAGGTTTGCCTCTGCCTTGTCATCCTTTCATTTTGTTTCATTTCCTGCTTTTGTTATTTGGGTTGCTAAAATTTTCATCTTTTCGTTTATGTTAACAGCGATTGAGGCATGCAAGAAAGAGATATCGGCGGGTTCAACGACGACGGATTACCTGCAAGGGCAATCTGAGTGTTCGGAGCAGACATCGAATGATGATGGACCTGTTTTGGAAGAATTTATTCCAATCAAAAGAAGCTTTAATTGCTCTGAGGAAGATGATGAACAAGAATCGCATAAATCCAAAGGCCATGATAACAACAACAAAGAAAAGAATATTTCTGCTGCTGCTGATAAAAAGAAATCTGATTGGCTTAGATCTGTTCAGTTGTGGAATAATAATCAATCCCCGGATCCACCCTTGAAAGAGGTACCTTTTTTTTTTTTTTTTCTTTCATTTATAATCTCCAAACAAGAAAAGAAAAAACTTAACAATTTCTGCGATTTTTTTTTTTTAAATTGCAGGATGCGGGTAAAATTGGAAGTGTGGTGGAAGTGAAGAGAAATGGGGGAGCATTTCAGCCATTCCGCAGAGAAAAAACTGTAGAGAAGAGTGTTCAATCTGCAGTAGGAAAAGCGAATGCCTCAGCTACAAGTACTTCTACAACGGAAAGTGAGAGCAGAGGAGGCAATAATGGAAACACTAACAAAAAGGAAGAAAAGGAAGGGCAGCCTCAGAGAAAGCAAAGGCGGTGCTGGTCACCAGAGTTGCATAGGCGTTTCTTGCATGCTCTCCAGCAACTCGGTGGGTCACATGGTGAGTTGCCCGTCAAACTGTTTTTCATTGTAATGGAATTTGTTTCAAGTATGTAGTTTACTGAGGCAAGGATTGTAATTGGAATTTGTTTCCAGTCGCTACGCCAAAGCAAATTAGGGAGCTGATGAAGGTTGATGGACTTACAAATGATGAAGTTAAAAGCCATTTACAGGTTTGTAGCTATGATTACTTTATCTTTTTAAATATTAATTACTGTTTGCAGTAAATTAAAAAGGATGTAATTGTTGGTTTACCATCTTATGTTTGGTGACCTTTCTTATCTTGCTGTTAGATTTTGATAGTTTGGTATATATTAGAGAGAGATAGCTTTCTGTTTTGGCAAATTAATCTGCTTTTGAGAAAATACTGCGATTAGATGAGCGTGTTCTAATATATTTGGCAATGTTGGAGTTTTTTATAGATTTAGATTAGATTTGGCCTGAGTCTGTGAATGTGTGGGATCAAGTTTTAAGATGGTAATCTTGTTATCACAATATCTTAGCACATAAAACTTTAAAGAATTGTGGTCCAAAAATGAAACCATAGAATCTCTGATCTATCTGCATAATTATACATGAAGTTCTAGCATAACCTAAATCTTTCATGTGTTTTAATCTCTCTCAGAAATATAGATTGCACACAAGGAGACCAAGCCCAACTGTCCAAAACAATGCCAACCCACAAGCACCTCAATTTGTGGTGGTTGGAGGCATATGGGTACCTCCACCAGAATATGCCTCGCTGACTGCAACAACGACATCAGGGGAAACAGCCAGTGTGACGCCAACCAGTGGAATCTACACCCCGGTGGCTGCCCCATTGCCTGCACTTCCTCAACCATCAGGAACAATGGTGCAAAGACCACAACTATCACAATCTGAAGAAAGGGGCAGCCATAGTGAAGGCAGAGTTCATTCAAATTCACCATCAACATCTTCCTCTACTCATACCACTACAGATTCTCCTGAGTTTTAGTTAGTTCTCATGGCATGAGAACGGTGTACAATTTTTGTAAGAAAACCTCAGTAGAAAGTTCTATATGATATAAAAACATCACTCTGTTTTTTTTTTTTTTTCCTCTTTTTGTCCCATTAACATCCTGCTCTTGTTGTTGAGTGTAAACATGGATAGTGACAGACAGTCAGTCTTTAATAAAAGCATCCTTGTAGTTCTCCATTCTGTTTCCAGGAACTGAAATAATTAAACGAATAAACTGGAATCTTGGTTTTGGAATCATCAGCTAAGAGGACTGTTCCATTATTTTCGAATCTAACAAAAGCCATGTTTGTGCCACAAGGTCTAATACCCCACTAGTCATTTCCGTTCTGATACAATGAATTCATAAATGGTTTCTGTCCTGGATGTTCAATCCCAACTTTTTCCAATAGTAATCCAAGATCCAGATCGTTCCGGTGCAGAATTATTTACCCCCAAGTGATACTTATCCAATGTTCCAGACAACCCCGGACAGTAAGGGCAGTTTGGTAACTATAAATAGGAAGGTCAATTTGTGGTCGAAATAAATTATGTTGTGGGCACCACCTTAACATTATAAAGAAGATATATGAGAATCTTATTTTAATTCTTAATAGATAGAAACAGTACAAGTTTTTTTTTTTTTTCTCTAGCAATGATAAAAGTCAACAATGATGAAATGAAAATACAATACAAGAATCTTGACCAAGTGAGAAATCTTCTTATTGAAGAAAATAGGCGATCAGAATGGGAGAGCTATTCAAATCTTTCCTGTTAGGTAACAGATGCCCATATCTTAGAAACTGTGGTTGCGTAGAATATGTGAGACCATATATGATTTTTCCTTGTTCCTTCCCACCAGAAAGTAGAATATGATGAAAGTTACAATGAGGCTGAAGTTAAAGTTTCAACAAATCCGAGTTATTAATATATATAGTAATGTAGACAAGAGATGAGATTAAAATGGTTGACAAAAGCAATGATGACTGAACTTATATATCTCTAATAATTAATATCAATGAGCTTCATTTGGAAGTCAGAGTTATTAGTAGGTCAAGTCATTTAAGGTACAGCGGAAGCTTTCAACAAAAGTGTTTTGCGTTGCCTCCATCCTCTTCTTATGTAACTATGAATGTGAAATGGTAAGTCAACGATGGTGGGGGCACTTTTGGAGTTTGGCTATTTATTCTATGGACTATATATCCTTAGTGGATCACTTGGTGTTCAAAAGTTAGAACTCTCTTGAAATCTTTGCGAGAAATAAAAACATAATAATCGTTAATAAGAGGGTGGCTCAATTGTTATTGATTGTCTCAATTGATAATATTTGTTCTTTTTACCATAAATGATTTAAATTGAAATTCAATCGATAATTTTTCACTAAGATCATTTCAAATGTATATAATCATATTCACATCCCTTTGAAAAAGAAAAAAAAAAATTTATGGATAAATCCTTTTTACTTTGAATTTTGATTGGATAAAAAAATTGCTTATATACATATGTAATGTGAAAGTGGTGCTATATATTTATATAAATATCTAACTTGACAATTCATTTTAACTCATAGTTTATTGTAATTTTATATTGCAAAAAAACTTTGTCAAATTAATTTGAAATATATAATCATATAAATTTTCATTTCAAATCTGATGTATGATTCTATGATCGTTACATATATATTTATCATAATATTACAAAAGAATACATAATCCCATATTCACCAAAGCACTTAGAAAGCTTCAACCAAAAGAAATTAAGATTGAAACCCAATTTAGTTATGGAAGTAGCTATTACCACATCCACCGGCGAAGTGTGGCATTCATGCATTTTTGAAACTGTAGTTCAACTAGAAACATCATGGTATAATGGTAAGATTACTATCATAATTATGACGAGGCCCACACACAGGCCACAACAACAAAGCTTCGATGTTAGCATGGCGTTGCCCTAGCAACCTTATTATAAACGTGTCGCTTTGATAAGAATCCAACTCCAACGAGGCTCATTACATCAATCCACTTTCGGACAAGGGCCATTTGGCATGTTGCTGTGGCCATCTCCTTATTTTCTATATGACTTTTCTCACAGCCAATCCAATTCCTTTAAAAAATCGAAGTGAAATTGAATTGCAATCTGTTTATGGAGCCATTCTAGGGGTCCACTTCCGAATATTCTGGTTCTTGAAGGATATTTTGGTGTTGTTCATCATGATCTCATCGTCCAAAGTATATTCTCTGTTTGTTTAACTTATCTTCTAGGTGAGGAGAACATAAAAAGAAGCTATTAAGAATCTTACCTTGTCCAAGAGTCCATCTCTAATTCACATTTTAATTATCAATTAATTAACCTTAATTAATCAATATCAGTAGGTATTCGATGCATGTGGGTCTTTCAAACCAAACAACAGGTACCAACAAATGATTACCGGAGAAAGACTATTTTGTTTTGCTTTGCTTTTTTTTTTTTTTAAAGAAATCAAACATTACCAACATATTTATCATCATTTATATCAATGAAATTTATGTAATTGGAGCATATCTCATGAATATATATGGCAAAGACAACGAAGATACAATTTTTATTGTTGAAACATAAAAAAATTTATGCTCTTACTAAAAATTCATACATGGGTGCTTTTTATTTCGAGTATGGTGTTAAAAACAAAATAAAAATAAACAAAAAAATCGAGGGACATGATAATTTATTGATATACATGCCAGAATGGATGAATTGGCTGTATGGTACTGCATGAGGGTGGAAACCAATTTAATTAAAGGAATATAGAATGACGGGCAAATGAAGATAGACAGGTATCCATGGAATGTGGAGTTTATGGGATATGGGATTCTTTTATTTTTGTTTTTTCGTCGCGGATTTAGGAAAGGCGTACCTTCAGTGAATCTAAGGACAAATGACTCTTCATATCTTGTAAAACTACTTCTAATAACAAAATATAAAAATAATAAGCAAGAAGACTAACACAAGTCTTTTTTTTTTTTTTTTCATTTTTATTATCATTAATATTCAAATCTCAAATTTAAGACATGCTTTCATGCTATATTACGTGAAATTGTCATGCACGAATACAATTTTTTTTTTCTCCTTTTTATGCAATTACAGCGGAGATCATGTTTTAAGTGAGAAAAAAAAAACAGTTACGACCATATTTCCCCTAAAAAAAAAAGGAAGAAAAATGATTAATAACAATGTAATATAATAACAGAAAAAAAACAACCTCATATATGAACTTTGAACTATCTGATATGCACTATCATACTGTACAAAATGTGAAGCTTTATGAGAGATTTCAATGGGGAGGAATTTGTAATGGTACACCAGGGGTGGGCTCTAATGTCCGTGCATCTGGTATTTCCTTCGACAAAAGCTCCTGTATTTGAAAAGGAAAACACAATCTCTCAGGCTGTTCAATATGCAATAAATAAGCAACCGCTAATATTTATTGACTGACAAAAAGTGACAGATCAGTTAGACAAAATCACATAGATGAAACAACAAACACCACAAATCAGACTTATCCCAAAGTTTAGACCACTTTGCACACTATTCCGCAGTACTCCAGCATTTCTAGAGATTCAAATATGTTTATGGTGTTTATGAGTGCAGCAAGGTTTAAGGCATGCAGCAGTGAAGATGCACATAAGATCAGTTAACACTCACGGAGATAAGGCATCAGTGTTCTTTTTTTTTTTTTTGGGTTGGTAACATAGGATGAATTAAACAAAACTCGTTGTTTTTATCGTCAACCATGAAGACTTTTCCACCTGACAGAAAATTGATAGTTTCATTCAAAACTAATCAATAGTTAAATTCTATAAAAAAGAATTAAACAATCAATGGTTAACCAAGCCTTGGAAACAAAATAACTTCCTCCTGACAAAACACTTGCGGAGTATATCAGCTAAAAGAACACTTCTGACTCGTACAACGCTGATATATCTGGAGTTAAGAGTGGCCTTGGCTCGTTTGTTTTTCAAAAAAGGGTACAGGAATCTAACCTTGAATGATTCAACCGTTCCTTCAGCCTGAATTATGCTAGCAAGAAGCCCTTGGCTATCTAGATCTCCATTTTTCATTGGCACAATGAACCTACAAAAGAAGAAAGGAAAAGGCATATGCATAGGCATAATGAAAGGTTGCTGATTAGACTTAGCTTCCACTGAATAGTTTAGGTAATGTACTTGGCATGCAGCAGTTTAGCTAGTTGCACTGCATCTTCTTGTCCAGAAACCAAAGTAAAATTTGGAAGAAGCTGCTTGATGACTGGGGTAATAACTATATCAGCACGCTCCTTCTCTAGAAAATTTTTGTTGTATGCACAGTGAGGTTCATAATAAAGAGTCAATTGGCCCTGTTGAGAAATGACGAGATACCTGAAACAAATAATGCCAAGACATTGTGGCAAAATCCTTATATGAAAATTCAATCATCAGAAAATAACATGGTACACCAGAAGGGACATAAATAAGGTACCAATGATTAGAAATGGAGGATGCAAACATTATTACTTAAAGTCACATTGGCAAGTTGATGCTTGGAATGCTTTACCCATTCTCAGGTCGTTGCCATGGAGGACCTAGAACTGGTCCAGCTGTAGCCTTAATTCTGACTTTGGAACCATTTCCTGCTTCAACTTCAGAGTCCTGACCAGGTTCTAGATATGTGACCTGAAAGATTTTAATGCTAAGGATTATACATGGTAGATTAGGTCAATGGATGTAAAATCATATGCATGGATACTACAAATGATAGCAGATGAGGTTCAAAATTAGATAAGTACCAGATAAAGTTTAAGGAGAAATAGTGCTCTTCTACAGAATAGCTTAATAAAGTGACATGTTTTCTCCTGATTTGTCTACATTTAACTCTAGCATCCGTAAGATGATCTATGCCATGAAGAAAATCACCAAAATAGTGGAGAGGAAAACTGTGAACATATACCTACAAGGACCACTGAAAACTAAATTACAGGGAATTGGCCTAAAAGCTTTCCCCAGTTCACTTTACAGCTGCAGACGTGTCTTCACACACACACACACACACACATGGAGACACATAAGAAAAGTTTATATTCAGCTCCAGATAGAAAAGCTTACAGTAGTCTGCAAATTATCAGCCACTACCAGGACCTATGAGGACAAGCTATCTCCGGTTGCCGCTATTTCTTGAGATTTAGTTGTAGTCCAAGTGTAAATTATCAGGTCAAAATTTTGTTCTCCACCTTGTAGAGTTCAGGAATGTTGGAGGATATACATTTTCCCTCGAATGGGAAGGAAATGCTTACACCACTAGGGCTTTGAGACAAATTTACATGCATCTCTCATGGTTTATACTTATTTAGACTAAAGCAACTCTTTGCAACTTGTCAATGCCTTTAACTGATGCTAGTATAACAGAGGGTTCTGAGTCTCCAGAATAGATTGATTCTAATTTATTATTATTTGTCTCAGAAAAGCAGTTACATGTTGGTACATGCTACAACAGAATTAGAGTATTTGTTTGGAGTTCAATAGGAAAAATTTGTTCCTTAAAAGTTTAGGGAGCCAAGAAATAGCAGAAAAGCCTTGAGCTGATGAAATGCAATGTTACTGAACCTTTTTTCAGGTTAACTTAAATGCCCTTTGCTTAACTCAACACAACCTTAGCCCTCATGCCTCCACAATCCATTCAATCCCCTTAAACTGTATCCTCTTTTTGGCTACAAAATATTCAAACATCCAACCCCTTACCATTTGTAGCCACTTGAACCAAGGCCAAGGGCACCATTTCAGATTTTTTAAAACGTAACTTGTAGTTAAAATTCTGCTATGAAAGATGCCGCACTTCCAGCCCACACAAATACACATGAATGCCAACATGCACCCACCACACAAAAGCTAGACTACAGCAGTCCTATATCTACCTTTCAATTCAAACTTTAGAATCTTGTACCTTAGACTTCTGAAAATTAGTGTCTATTCAAACTGAAATATACGTGTTCCTTCTACTAGTTTTTTTTTTAAATAAGTATTAGAAAAAGATAATTCTACTTCTAACAATTCTCTAGATGGGAATGACGATCCAACAGTAAGTATATGGAAGCTTACTGTATATCTTTCAAATTCTTCTGCATTTTTTGGTTTAGTTCATATATATATATATTTTAATCTCATTTCTTCTATATATAATAAAATAAGTAATCTGCACATATGCAACAAACTTCAGTAAATGACAAATTGACAATGAAGAACTATGAAACAACAGTGACTCAAAGTTGCTTGAATAGCCTGGGAGGGCCTCAATTAGAATTTAGCAGTTTGATTAATTTGCTGGAGGGGAATATAAGGTGAAGTTCTATCAAGTAATTAGATCACTGTTTCTCTGTAAGATTGTAACTGAGTCACATGGCTACATTAAAATGGGTATCCAACAACAGATTAATGTGGAACACCAGTTGCAGCTCACAACCACCCTCTTCCCCTCCAAAGAGTTTCAGTCAAGACTCAAGTTTATTAGTTGTCAGTTTTACTTCTTGTAAAATTCAATTTTCATTTGCCAATATTCCTATGCAAATGGCAATTAAATGAATACAATCAAAAGATCCACACACAGTATCTGATAAACAAAAAGTGAGGTAAGTACCATAAAATTAAAATTTTAACTCACATTTCTGCAAAGAGGATCTAACAAAGACTTGGCATTGGGAGTTGCAATGACTCTAAGATTTGGGGACATTTCTGAGAGCGGTTTTAAGGTTTTCAAATGGCAGTGATCATCAAGGCTTTGAGTAATTAGTAAGCAATCAACTTGAGGAAGATCAGTAAGCTGCAATAAATTTGCACTCCCAATTGAAATAAACACATTAATTAATCACCCAAGCTGATTGAACAATAAATAAATGAAGAAGGAAAAAACCACGCTCTGAAGATCAGTAACATGGAAACCAAAACATTACCTTGAAATCCCTCAAAAATTTCTTGGCAGCATCATAGAGCCATGGAATACCAAAATCCAAGTTACCCACCAGAATTGGATCAACCAAAATTCTCACCCCACTTACATCCCACAGCCAACTATTCCCCTAAAAACCAAAAATTTAAAATAATCTGAACAAACAAAAAAAGCCCAAATTGACTGAATTTAAAAAAATAATAATAAAAAAAAACCCACCTCTAAGTAAGTGAGCTTGAATACATCAGTGCCATAAGAGCTGGACTCAACAGCACTTTCTTCAGAAACTACAGCAGCAACCACCCTATCCCCCCTGTAAAACCAACCCCAGAACAAAAATACACCAAAAAAAAAAACATTTAGACAAACAGAAAGAATCGTATGTTTCCAGTTACGTTTATTTATAAATTATACCCGCATGTTGAGAGCTTTAATGCATCTGACCGGAAGCTAAATGGGGTTTGAGGAAGTGAGAAGAGACGGGTGGGTAAGAGAGTGGATAAGGGTTTGGGGGCTCTGTCTCTCCATGTTTTGCAAGAGATAGGAACAGAGTTGCAATGAACTGCCATGATGGTTTGCTTCTTCAGTTTAATGCTTTGGAATGTTCGCGCGTACTGGACGTGGGAGTTGTGTCCTGGAACTCCTTTAACCAACCCAAAACAAAACTGCCTATCAAAGGCAACCATTTGCTCTATTGGTTTAACAACTCGTGGAACTCCTTTAACCAACCCAAAACGAGACTGCCTATCAAAGGCGACCATTTGCTCTACTGGTTTTGACTCGGCCACTTGGCACATGCTCAACCTTACTGTTTAAAAAAAAAAAAAATCTCTTAACAGATAAGTAAATAACCTTTATTTTATCGATGTTTGTTAGTTCGAACGATAAAAAATTTAATTTTTTTTATGTAAAATTTTGAAAGATTTTACTATTTTTATAAGATTTAATTTGATTTAATTTTGAATTAATCAAAATTTAAAGGAATTATTGATTATTGAAAGATCTTTTAAAAAAAAATTATTTTTAATTAATTAATTTATAGTAATTTGTTAGATCAAAATTTTATTAAAATGAATAATTGACTAACAAAATTTGAAAGAGGATTAAAGAAGAGTTAGGCCTTACCCGGGTCTCTTTTTTGCTATCATAAATAATGCCACTCACCGCTCTGAATACTATTACATTACTAATAGAGGCACTGCTTAAATCAATAATACTATCTAATAAGTTGAAAATAAAAAAGGGTAAAATTGAAATCGATTTTGATAGCAGTTACTGATGCGATACGCTGTTAGGAACTTAAAATTATGGTAGATTTTAAATGAAAATTATGACAGAAATTTTACTTTCATCCCCTTTCTGGTATTTCTGTCACTATAACAACAGCAGGATAATCTACCAAATCTTACAAAGGCCTTCAAAAGTTATGTACATTTATATGTTGAAACTTAATTCTCTCTCCCATCTTTTGGGATGATAAGGTATGGCGTTGACAATCTTGTTACCTTGTGGCAGTGGCAACTTCTTAACTCATGTAGAGCTCTGCGAGTTGATACAAATTCCTGCACAGTTCACAACAACACTATTAGTATCAGCTCTTTTACTGAGGATATATGTCTTAATGTAATGATAAACAACGACAAAGAAGAGTTCCGCTCAACGAAGAAAAGTAGTGTATTTGCATTCACTTCACTCTACTAAAATATATTGCTTTGACAGAAACAGAGTGTGTGCATACCCAGAAGCGCTAAGAAAGATATTTGTACTCTATAGTATTTGAATATAGAATAGCAGTGGCTTCACCAAGTAACTCTGTAATACCATAGTGCAGCATTGCCAAAAGACCAACAGTAGCTCCTTTTTCTTCAGCCTTCCTTATGGTTACAGCCTGTAAAATTTTTATAATAAAATAATTATCAGAGACAATGAAATTACGGAAGAAGCAGATAAAAATAAACACTTTCAAAAACACTTGCATATTAAAAGATTTGTGCATAAATTTCAGGCCAAGACACCAGGAACCTGGGATAGATATCCTACCATGTTGAAATGTAAAAGCCTTAACACTAAACCTGGGCCTCAGTCAAGCAAATTAGGCTCATAACAGTGCACATGGATGGAGTCGTCTCTGGTGGCCTTTCTACAGATAAAGAGGTTAAACCCTCATTAGCGAGATGCTGAAAAACACCAGCTGCTTCTTTGAAAAGAGCGGCAGATTGCACCAAATCTGGCAAAATGCAAATTTAATAGCAATATTACAAACACAAGAATAATGTAGTTAAAACTTTGATGTGAGAATGTTAGTGCCTACCCGCTGAAAGAATTTCCATAGCCCTCTCCCGAAGCAATGCAGCATATAGGTAAAGCATCATACCAAGCTCATAACGTAAATTATCAATTTGAAAAAGTTTTGGACCCCTTAGGTGAAAGAAAGATGATGAGCAAAGAGCAGTACTCCAACGGATCTTAAGTTCTGAAATCCAATGAACAACTAGGTGGTTGCTGCAGACCAAATCAACATGAAAGATCAAGTTCTCCAACAATGGCAGGTATTGCTCCAGTTTCTCGAGGTCCAGATGCATATCACACCAAAAAAAAACACAATCAGAATAACCTGCCCAAACCTAATCATGTGGTTTCTTTCATAGAAAAAATAACCAGAGAGGCAACCAAAAGCAAGTTTCTGCCTGCAACAATATATGCGTTGCAGCGATGGAGATATTGAAGCGCAGAAGGAAACGTTTTATACAAAGTTAAAATGTGAATTAGCCAATTTTAAGAGGTTACCCTTAGAAAATGTGAAGTCAAGCCTCCAGACATTTCTCTTGCAATAGCCTCAGTAATGGAGCTGCTGTGATTAATGGACTCCTCAATCACTCTACGCCTGGAGCTCAACTCTTTCAGATGTTCAAGCGTGGCAGGATCACGAGCAGAAAACACATCCTCAAAAACAATCTGCTAATATTGCAAAAACATGAATAGCAGCCATAAAAGTAACCAAAGTTGGAAAATCATCACCTACCATGAAACATACATTCATAAAAATTACAATTCTTTAACCCCAGAGATCTCCTTGGAAGAAAAAGAAATAAATAAATTGGTAGACTTAACAAGTGATAGCGACATGTAAATGCATGAAAACAACAAGATTAACAAAGCCTTTTACTCAGCTAAATGAGCATCCTTTATAAAATCTCATCATTTTGTCCTCAACTGACACGCATTCTAGTATCAGGCTTTTTATGATCAACCTAACAAAATTCTGCAAACCAAGACTATGCCATAGAAATGGCTTCAGGTGAGGCAATCAAATAAGAAAATACTCATTTCATGTAAGACATAATGCACCTTGATCCAATTTAGTTTCTTTGTAGACTTAATAATTCCTTTCCTTCCCCAATCAAAAGGGTTAAATTCTAGATCACTACCATCAATCATCTCCAATCATCTCCAATCAAAATCCCTTTTTTAATAAAGTTAGAGCAGACTCAAAAGAGATCATAAAAAAGAGAGAAACACTACCTTCTTGGATTGGAGCTTAGCGGGGTCAAGATAATGCAGCATCATCTTTCCCAAACACGCAAAACGAAACCCAAAGCCAGCCAAAAATCTAAACTTATTTTCTCTTCTCTGGACCTTCACAAAACCCACAAAATGAGATAAAAAAAAAAACAAGGGAAACCAAATTCCGACATAAAAGAAGACAAAAAATGATAGAGAAAAGAGAAGTGTAGTTAAAAAGGCAACATGGGTGTGTTTCCTTTTGTTGTTGTTAGTTATGTTTAGTGAATCAAGAGTTGCAAATGTGACAAAGCCCATAAACCAATCATTTTTCGGTCAGGGTCGTTACTTTGTTAGCCGTTTCGATTCCTTGTCTGCCAAGTTTACAACGTCCGAGTGGGTCCCGCTGCACTAACCCAAGTACTTGTGACTTTCTCCGAGTTGCTTCTCGGGTCGGGTTTGGTAATTAAGTCAATAAAAAAATTAGTCTTTTGTTTAATGAAAAAAAGGGAAGGTAAAGCTCAGGTACGGTCCTAACTCCTAAGCATTTAAGCCAAAACAAGCTTTTTTTTTTTTGTTTTTGGGAAACCCTGGTTTCCTCTCTCTTTGCAATTTCCTTGCCTATGTTGCATTGCCATTAGCCCATGAGGATTGTGTAATCTTAGTACACAAAGCAGCAGATGGCGGACAAGCAGCTGATCGTGGCCGTTGAAGGCACCGCGGCCATGGGTCCTTACTGGCAAATCGTCGTCTCTGATTACCTCGACAAGATCATCAGGTTTCTGTTCTTCCTTCCTTCTTTCTTTACCTTTTCTTTGACTCGGATTGGTTTTATAGTTTAATAATTCGATTAATACTCGCTAAGAAAGCTACAAACTTTGTTATAAAGTATAGATTTTTTTTTTTTTGAATTTCCACTCCTGTATGTGAAAATTGATGCCAATATTTGTGAAATACTCTTGTCAAAATTTCAATATAACTTTTGCTTATTAATTTATGCGCTTGGGGTTTTCTTTTTTTTTTTTTTTTCCTGAACGCATTCCATTGAATCGTTAATACAAGAATGAAATTTTATTGTCGACTATAGTGTTAGAGCAATTTATAGGGGGCCATTCTATGGTTTTAGTGATCTTGCAGTTTCCTTAGTACTTAGAATCTAGGGAGTAGTTTTTCTTTTTTCTTTTCCCCCTTACAAGGGCTGTGGGTATTGGTTATTTTTAGCATCCTGGATGTGTTTTCCCATTGGATAATAGAGTTTGTTGTATAACCTTTCTTTCTGCCTTGACTTGCGCTGTTCTTTTGTAACTCTGTTGTGAACTGACTGGAATTTCATCTTTTTATTAATATACGTGATGAATTTTGATCATTGTGTTTTGCTAGTTTGTTTCTTCTACCTAAGCTATATCTGACATTCTTTATAAAGTCCTGAAGCGCTTGCTCTACCTTGAGAAGCTTGTCAGATCCTTAAAAGATTGCTAAAATGAGAATGTTTGCTTCAGCTTCTATTAAGGTTCTGAGGTTTCATTGGGGAGAATGACCATACTGATTGTCTTTTTACCCTGCGTCGGTTTTATGGCTGTTGACCTTTGTTAGTTATATGCATGTTTTGTACTTAAATATATTTTGGGTATGTATATTTTTCTTGTTTGATAGATTCTGGTAATTCCACAGGTGTTTCTGTAGTGGCGAGTTAACTGGGCAGGTAAAAAGGCTTTTTCTTCTCCTTCTTTCTTCCATTCTGATTAGCTACTTTTCTAAATGCATGGTAATCATCTTGTTATACAGCATTAACTGTTACTATGCTATAGAGGCCTTTTTAGTTATACTACTACTTGGCACATGATATCAGATAATAAATTGAATATTTATCGTAGATGATTTAGCAAAAGGCAGCATCATTTTTTGACCATGGCATTAACTAATAATTCCAAATTTGCATGATGGAATTAGCATTCATTTGTGTGAACTTAGAGAGCCATTTAAGTTTCAAATTTTCTGTCCGGTCAGTTTAAGATATCTAGTTTGTTCAATATTGTGCTTTCTATGTACATGTATTAATTCAGTCATCTTGTTTAATACAGAAGAATTCTACATCCAATGTTGAGCTTTCATTGGTCACATTCAATACTCATGGATCATACTGTGGTATGTTTTTTGTTCTTTTTTCTTTTTTCCAACTTGAAGTGGGCTATAAGTATCAAAACTACATTTTTGTGGAAAATGTGGTGCTATATGCAGCTTGCCTTGTACAACGTAGTGGGTGGACAAAAGATGTTGATATTTTCTTACAATGGCTGTCGGCCATACCTTTTTCTGGTGGTGGTTTCAATGATGCTGCAATTGCTGAAGGGCTTTCTGAAGCGTTGATGGTATGCAGTGTCAATTTTTTTTATGTGATTTTAAATGCATTTGTGCTTTGATTTATGCTTTCCAATTGATAATTATTTGTGCAAGTCTTCATTTTTTATTCCTTAATGATTTGTCTCCTTAAATTAGATGTTTCTTCCAACAAGTTAAGGAAATTCTACTTAGTTGGTTTTCTCAAGATTTAAATTTCACCTAAAAATCTGTTTTCTCGAAGATATAATTTGATTATAAGGATGCCGTAACTTTGCATATTGCCACAGATGCCATCAAATTTTTAGGAGAGCAAATGAGGGAAACCTAGATGTGAGCATTATTGTAATATAGACCTTTATTTAACCTTTCATCACTGGCTCCATCATAACAGAAAGGGGGGAAAGAAAATTCATAATTATTCTCTTGGCACAGAACCATGGTACTCCAGTGTAACGTATTGCTGAAGGCTATGAGCCTATAATGTGAAATTTTAGGTTTTTAAGGGTTATGCCTCGCTTTATGATGAGTAAAATGCCTCGCCTTATGCTTTTGCTTTTTAAAACATAGGCTAGAGGTGATGGCAACTAGAAATAGAAAATTTTGGGTAACTTGCACCAGAGGTCCTTAACCTCTTTAAGTTGGTTAAATTATCTAACTTTTATATTGTTCCATTTTATTCCTCATCTTTATTGAAATGCTATCAATGTGGTCCTTCCAATTATTTAGTCAATTAAAATTGACAGATTTTGCCCATGTAGGCCTGATATCTTTATAAATGCCCATGACATTTTATTCTTTTTTAATTGTTTGATGTATTTCTTAGATGTTTCCTATTTCTCCAAATGGAAACCAAACTCAGCAAAATGTGGATGGGCAAAGACATTGCATTCTTGTTGCTGCCAGTAATCCTTATCCCTTGCCTACACCAGTCTATCGACCACAAATTCAAAACTTGGAGCAAAGTGAAAATGTTGAAGCACAGACAGAGAGTCGTCTGTCTGATGCTGAAACAGTAGCTAAATCATTTGCACAGGTAGTTCAACAGTATTTTGCTTCTCGTCTCCTAGTTCTGGCTTTCCTTTTTAGGACGTTAACTGACCCTTAGTTTTCTTTGCAGTGTTCTGTTTCTTTATCTGTGATATGTCCGAAGCTGCTTTCAAAGCTAAAAGCAATCTACAGTGCTGTAAGGATCATGATGATAACATTTCTTAATCCGTTTTCCTTGTGACTCTTTGGTTCGCAAACATTAGATATATTGGCCATGTCTTCCTTCAGCTACAAGTCTCTTTGCATGAACTTTTAATAAAATATTTTAAGGGATGTATGCTCTGTAACCTGTTGGTTGGACCATGGTGATAGTTCCATAGGACGTTTTGAAATTTGTCCCTGATATATATGAAGCACTGTCTAAAGTATGGATGAGCTTTTGAAAGATATTCATATAAATAAATATCTGGAAAACTATTTATTTAGTAGATTTTTGCTAGACTTTATCCTAGATTATGTTCTCTTTACTTAGTCACTAATATTCTCTGCTAACTGGATGCTAGGTGTCCTAACTGCATTTTCACAAATACAGGGAAAGCGAAACCCCCGAGCACCAGATCCACCCATCGACAATGTTAGAAACCCTCAATATCTTGTTCTGATTTCAGAGAACTTTATGGAGGGCCGTGCTGCTTTAAGTCGTTCTGGCGTTCCAAGTTTGGCAGCCAATCAGAGTCCTGTGAAAATGGACATGGCTTCTGTCACTTCGGTTACAGGGCCAGCTCCAACTCCTGTTCCATCAGGTAGTGTATGCTGAATCTGTTGGTCCCTTCTGATTGAATGCTGTTTTTAACTGGATACTGACCATCACATGTGACTGACTAATTTGCGTGCTTAGTTATATTTGTCATTCTGCTCTCTTAAGCATAATAGCAAATAGAAAAGCAGGGAAGTAACTATATTATGCTGGATACTAAGCCTCTCCTCCTGTAACCTTGTGTTTTCTTATCCTAGTTCTGACAGGTCTGATTTCATTCTGCTAGATCCTCAAGATTGCCTTTTCAGTTTTCTTTATTAAAGAAGCCTTCTTAAAAGATTACCAAGTAACAGAAGCTCTTGGCCTTTTACCAATGGATTTGTTTCCTCTTCAGCATCAAAGAAGTAAAAAAAACAATTATCCAAAAAGCCTAGATATATCCCCTTCTATTGCTGCACTTAGTAATGAAAAAAGAAGACCTGTTCTGTATCTGTAACCTTGTTGCTCACTTCATTTCTTTTAATAATGCTAATCTGTAGACAGTGCAGTAGATATAGATTTATGCACACCACTTGGAAATATAAAAATTGATCTCTAGAGAATTCAACAGCTGTGACTAGTTGTAGGCTTTTTATTCATTGCTGTGACCAGTTCTTGCTTAATACTTGTTTTCTGTTTTATTTTTAGTGAATGGATCTATTATGAGCCGGCAACCAGTTTCTGTCGGAAATGTTCCTACTGCTACTGTAAAAGTTGTAAGGATCGTGCACTTTAGTTAATCAAAGGTTGTTTCTGTTGTTATTTGGATATGTAATTATATGGTATCATTCAGGAGCCCACAACCATAACATCCATGGCAACTGGGCCTGCTTTTCAACATATTCCATCTGTTCCACGTGCACCTTCTCAAGCAGTCCCAACCTTGCAAACTTCTTCACCATCAACTACCACACAAGAGGTGATGACAAGTGGTGACAACGTGCAAGAACTAAAACCTTCTGTAAGTGGTATGACACAGCCTTTACGTCCTGTGCCTCCAGCTGCTGCAAATGTGAATATACTAAACAATCTTTCTCAAGCACGGGTGATGAACTCTGCTGCTCTCACTGGAGGAACTTCTATAGGACTTCAGTCAATGGGTCAAAGTCCAGTGGCCATGCATATGTCTAATATGATATCTAGTGGAATGGCATCTTCTGTGCCTCCAGCTCAAACTGTATTTTCATCTGGGCAATCGGGTATGACTTCATTAACTGGCTCAGGAGCTCTGACAGGGACTGCACAGGTCCCACCAAACTCAGGTCTTAGTTCATTTCCTTCTGCAACTTCTAATGTAGCTGGAAATTCAAACATTGGAATTTCACAACCAATGGGTAATGTTCAAGGGGCGGTGAGTATGGGCCAATCAGTACCTGGCATGAGCCAAGGAAACCATTCAGGTGCACAAATGGTGCAAAGTGGAGTTGGCATGAGCCAGAACATGAGTGGTCTTGGTCAATCAGCTGTCTCTTCTGGAACTGGCATAATGATTCCTACTCCAGGAATGTCTCAACAAGTACAATCTGGAATGCAGACACTTGGAGTGAGCCACAGTTCAGCTGCTAGTATGCCACTATCACAACAGACATCAAGCGCTTTGCAGTCAGCACAATCCAAATATGTTAAAGTCTGGGAGGTAATCTAGGGCTTTATTTTAGACTAGTGATGATAAATATGCTGTTTTAATGGAAAAATCTCCTGCAATGAGCAGATGTTGAAAACTTTCCATGTGCATTCCTTCTAAACTCTAGCTGTAGTTTATTTTATCTTTTGTTTTTACGCATATATCATGCTAGAAGGAACTATAGTACTTTTCATCTTTGTATTATTGTGTGACTTTATATCTTCCAATAAACCATATTTTTACTGAGAGTTATTGTTTTGCCTGAAGGAGACATATATGCTGCATACAATCTCTTAGGAATAGTCTTGCTTGGAAGTTTGCTGTTATATCAAATTTTTTTAATAATCTTCTGATCACTCCTTGAATTAAACAGGGATATTATCCTCCATGACAAGTAGAAATTTCTTAAGGCTCTATGTTTGTTGTAAGTCATGTGATGAACTCTGGGTGGCTAAAAGTTGAAACAGCCTTATTCTTAGTACAACACTTCTGAAGCCTGTTAAGGAACAGGGACTGGAATGTTGTTGATGCTTCTGTGAAAACATTCCAAGTTTGCCATTTACTTGAGAGGGCCCATAAACCTGTGTTGTCTCCTGCCGAAGACACTACCTCCACCTAAATTAGTTATAAAATTAGGGGTTTTGTTAGTTCCACCAAAGTACTGTTTTGAGAGGGTGATCAAGATTTTTAAAAAATAAGATTGCTATGCTTTTGACTTTACTTTTCTCCTTGTATAATCTTGACTTTTTTGACTGTCCCTTGAATTACATTGAAATAACATTGATGATTTTATGTTTTATATTAAATCTCTTGGTACCATTTGCCTCTTCATTGTTTTATATTTGCTTGTGCGATTGCTAACATCCCTTGAATGGTCAATATATACAGGGAAATTTATCTGGCCAGAGACAAGGGCAGCCGGTGTTTATCACCAGATTGGAAGTATGTTCACAAAAATCTGATGATAATATTACTCCAAATATAGTGCACTTCCATTTTTCTCTTTATATTTTGTTTTTATTCGTGATTTTTTTTTTTTAATGAATGACTTGCATACTTTGCTTCAACCACACATTTGATATTGGAGCTATTTCATCTGCATTCTCTAATTTGATTCATAAACCTTTTGCTTAAAATTTTTTTGCAGGGTTATCGGAGTGCCTCGGCTTCTGAGACGTAAGTCTATGGTTAATGCAAGTAACTTGTGAATTTTTTTTCTTCTCTTTCTCTGATAACCCCTAGAGGAAATAATAAATGATAAAAAATGCCTTCATTCTGTTTCTTTTACACATGGCCCTACATTTTCTTGCATGGTTTTTGGTTCTTTAATGAGAATATTTTTTTATGTAAATATTTAATGCCAATCTAGGTTATAGAACCTGAGGATTTTGGTTTTTGTTGTTTCAGACTTGCAGCACACTGGCCACAAACCATGCAAATAGTTCGTCTTATATCTCAGGATCACATGAATAACAAGTAAGTTCTAGTTCGTGAAAACACTTGCCTTTATCTTTCAATTTTCTCATAAATTTTGTTTTGTTTAACATCAGGCAATATGTTGGGAAGGCAGATTTTTTAGTTTTCAGGGCAATGAATCAGCATGGATTTCTTGGACAGCTGCAAGAGAAGAAGCTTGTAAGTGGTTGCAGGATAAGTTTCCCTTTGAAGCAATGCAAAATTTCAATTTGAATGTCTTCAAGACTCTTGTAGATCCTCAAATAAGCAAAATTACTGTTGAAGCTTGAGACTTCGTAATTGCATATGCATCTCTTTGAGTGTTTATAGGAACCATTTTGAGTTTTGAATTTCTCAAAATTTTGTCCTATGAATCATTTGTAAGTGTGAAATTATGGAATTATTACTCCTGGATTATTCTGATATAATTTCACTTCTCATTACTGCAGTGTGCTGTAATTCAATTGCCATCACAGACGTTGCTGCTTTCAGTTTCTGACAAAGCTTACCGCTTGATAGGAATGCTTTTCCCGGGGGTGAGAATGTTCTGACTTTGAGTCCAAACTTTAGTTGGTTGAGTTTGGATTATTGGTGTAATCATTATATTCTGATGCCAGTTCTTAGCTTCCACCTTTAACTATAAAATTGTCCCAACTACACAGTTCCAACATTCTACCAGGCCTCCACCCTTCTCTACACAAACCAAAAAAATAAACGAATGGAAAAAGCAGCAAACTAGATGAGTGACCTGTGGCTTTTATCTGAATATTCTGTAGGCTCCATTTTCTTCTTGCTTTTGCTATTTGCTTTTTACCTGTGCTCCTTTGCTAAAATGCAATATGAAATTTGATTGACATAAGAATAACTCAAATGCAGTAACAATCCTAATGTAACTATTTTATATGGAAGTAATATCATTCTTTTTAATTTTCCAAAAATATTACTTGCTTTTTGCAACCAAATGGAGCTTTATCCGTTGTCAGCTACTTTGAGCTTTGCATTTTATTTGAACTAAGCTCTTCGTGGAATCAGGATATGGTTGTCTTTAAACCACAAATATCTAGCCAGCATCAACAACAGCAGCAACACCAGCAGATGCAGCCACAGCTACAGCAGCAACAGATGCCACAGCTACAGCAGCAACAGATGCCACAGCTACAGCAGCAGCAACAGTTGCCACAGCTACAACAGCAGCAACAGTTGCCACAGCTGCAACAGCAGCAGCTTCCACAGCAGCAACAGCAGCAGCTTCCACAGCTGCAACAACAGCAGCTTCCGCACTTGCAGCAGCAACAGCTCTCTCAGCTGCAACAACAGCAGCAGCTTGCCCCGCTACAGCAGCAGCAGCAGCAGCTACCACAGCTGCAACAACAGCAGCAGCAGCTACCACAGATGCAACAACAGCAGCAGCTACCTCAGCTGCAACAACAGCAGCTCTCCCAGCTGCAACAGCAACAGCAGTTGCCCCAGCTGCAGCAACAACAGCAACTTTCACAGCTGCAGCCACAGCCGCAGCTTCCCCAGATGCAGCAACAACCAATCGTTGGATCAGGAATGGGTCCAGCTTATGTTCAAGGTCCAGGCCGGTCACAATTAGTTTCTCAGGGGCAAGTAACATCACAGGCGCCACCTAACATGCCTGGAGGAGGCTTTATGAGTTAATCAGCCACACTTTGGAATTTTCTGCCCTACTTAGAACTTCGTAGTTGCATAAGTTATAAACCCCCAGTCTTTATCAGTATCTTTAGTGGCTAGACACGAGCATAAGTTACGTAGTAACATCTAGGACGAAGTATGTTATGTACTGATGATGCCATTTAACTCATGGTATCTCATGTTGCATTGACAGTTTGCCGTCATTCATGTTTCTTAAATTATGAGGTGGGAAGAAACAAAGGTTTTGATGATGAAAATGACAAATTTAAAATAGATTTTTAAGTTACTTTCTCATCATCTGGTTGTGTGAAAACTTATATTAACTGGTTAAATAAGTGAGGTTAGGTTACATTATTTCATTTTGGAGAGACGGATAGGCACGCCTTCTATGTAATTAATAAGGAATCCAATTTAGAATGTCAAACGGTAATTAGACCATAAGTTATTTTGATGATGGGACTTTGAGATTAATTTTGTTAGTAGGTTTCATGGATTATAGTAGTGCTTAGCATCGATCCAATTCCATGCTAAAGTCTCAAATGAGTGATTGATGTTTGCAGCCAAGTAAAGCATTAACCTTTTCTCACACCCTGAACATAAAGTGGTTTAAAAACAAAGCATTCAAAAGAATTTGAAATCACAACAGTACAGCTCTGATGGCTTATCCCATACCCTTTGAAGAAGATAACATAATTTAAATGGCCTCTTTGTTGCCATTATTTAAAGTTTAAAACCCCTCCTCCCAAGAGAGAGAGAGAAAAAAAAAAAGGTCCTGTCCCAGTCAAGTAGAAACTGAATAAGAAAGCAGAAATCTTGCTTAAGTTTTGACCATAAAGCGGTTGCGAAGTTGGGGCCTAGGGGGCCACCCAGATGAAGAAAAAATGATTTGGTTATTATTAATATTTACTAGTAATACTGAAGGAAAGGCCAATTAAGAGCTTAATTAGATTCCATTTGATTAGCTTTGAAATTGTTTCTCCAATTATTACATGTGAGTCTTGAAATTTTGCTTAGATGCACCACCTTTTTTTCCTATAAATTTTGAACCGTTAAGAGGAGCCATTTGTATCAGATTCATTCGGATCAGGAATCCATGATCACTGTGATGTAAATATGACGACAATGTTAATGGAAGAATAGTGAAAATCTTTATGTTATCATTGTAATTTTGGTATGGTTTGCAGTCGGCTTTCGGCCTCTAAAGCTAATGGGGACACCTCAAAAATAAAGACGATGAGCCACACCAACTTGGCATAAACAAGCAGCATCCTTACTTTAATCATTATTTAAGAAACTATGGCTATAATTTCTAGTCCCCATAAAACAAGGAAAAGATGTATAATGGTTTTAGAGTAGATCCAAAAGCACCAACCACCAAAACTTCCCATCATTGGCTTTGAAAAAGCAGAAATGCCAACAATGTCCTTGTGCTCAAGTACAGGAAGTTTCTAGTTGAGCTTCGAGTTGCCTGGCACAATAAGTCCTCTGATTCCTTAACTTTGATCATGGAGAAGTAGACCGTATCACAATCTCTGTTGTCATAATTAGTCCAAAGCTGTCTAAATCCTTTTAAACTCTCTACATTTTTTTTATAATTATTGACTATTAATTTCTAGTTGAGATTTTTCCAACTAATTTTTTTTTGCATGGTTTGCGACTTTGTTATCTTTTACCCCAAATTCATTAGTAACTACAGGGGGTTTTCGGACACATAGGAATTGCTCTGGGTCCTGGGAAACGGAAAAAGAAATTTGTTTCAAAAATGGAAAAGGGTTAAACAAAGTAAACAATAGCCTTATTTTCCTATTAGGTCATGTAGGATAAAGATTATTAGGCAAGGGAAGAAGAAACTTCAAAAAAAGAAAGGGCTAGCCAAAGTAAATGGGATGTCATTTTCTTACCTTTATTCCATCAAGCAACACAATCATCAACTACTAGCTAGTCCACTACTTAAACACATGATGATGATGACTGAACCCCTACATTCAGGGGATATCTCTATTTTAATTTCTTTGCAAAAATGGTTTCAACTTCTCCTCCAAAGGTGAGAGCATGAATATCATTATAGTTTAGTTATTATCACCTGGACAGTACTAATTACTTTTTTCACTAAGCTTCTTGCCATTTTAACAGGAAGTTCAATCCAACGGAAAATGGGAAGAAGGAGGAGATCCTACTCGCCGAGCCAAATGGTGGTACTCAACTTTTCACACTGTCACGGCCATGATAGGTGCAGGCGTCCTCAGTTTGCCCTATGCCATGGCCTACCTAGGATGGTATGTGGGAACTCAACTCAGTTCTACAAAAACCTTAAATCTCAACTGCTTTTAGTTATGTCCAACAACTTCGGAAAAATTAACTTTCTCTTTTACTCCTAGGGGTCCAGGGACAATGGTTTTGGTGTTATCTTGGTGCATGACCTTGAATACAATGTGGCAGATCATACAACTCCATGAGTGCGTCCCTGGAACTCGATTTGATCGATACATTGACCTTGGCCGATATGCTTTTGGACCAAAACTCGGAGGATGGATAGTGCTGCCTCAGCAGCTGATTGTTCAAGTTGGATGTGACATTGTTTACATGGTTACCGGAGGGAAGTGCCTTAAAAAGTTCATGGAGATTGCCTGTGCCAGCTGCAAACAGCTTAGGCAGTCTTACTGGATCTTGATTTTTGGTGGCATCCATTTCTTCCTGTCTCAGCTTCCCAATTTCAATTCAGTTGCTGGTGTTTCATTAGCTGCAGCAATCATGTCTCTAAGGTCGTCTCTAGTGAACCTAATCTTTTACCCTTTGTAAGCTTCTGCATATAGATAAGATGATATAGGTAAATTTAAAAAATATATGTTCTACATCTAGATAGGTTTCCACCACATATTTATTACAGACTAGATTTCCTCGTCCAGAGAGTTAGAAACTAATACAAGTTTTTCCTAAGTTGATATTCTTTTAAGCGACAATTTTGTAATTACTAATTATTTGTTTTCTCAACTGGAGAAAAAATTCTGTCATCGCAAGCCGCATGCAGAGAACAACCTGGTAAATCTTGATGAAAGGCACAATCACCTGCCAAACCAGCCCGCTGCCCCGCTGCTTTAATTATGTTTGAGCTATGTTCGTGAACTTTGAGTGAGTAGCATATGAATATATGATAACCACTTCTTGGCAGACATTAGGATACCTTCTAGTTACTGATGGTAAAGTAAGGGAGGGTCACATGAGAGGCTCGCCTTTTATGAGTTCTACAGCATTTTGGAGAAACTAAATACAATAACATACAGCAACTGAAGAAAAAATTTGTGGTTGAAGTTCAAGGAAAAGGGAGTGAAAAAGGAGCCTCTGAGAATATTACATGGAGTAGTACTAGTCTACTAAAATTCCTGTCTTTCAAAGTTATATCCATGTCGTAATTTGGATAATGAATTTACAGAAACATACAACCATGCATGTTAATCCAGCAAAACAAGATGGGATTTATCATTGATTTGTTATTAATGCCTCTTCTTATAATTGCAGTTATTCAACCATAGCCTGGGCGGGATGCTTGAGTCATGGTCAGATTGACAATGTGAGCTATGAGTATAAGAACACAAGTCAGACAGATTACATGTTTCGAGTATTCAATGCACTTGGTCAAATTTCATTTGCATTTGCCGGTCATGCAGTTGCCCTAGAAATTCAGGCCACAATTCCATCCACTCCAGAAAGGCCTTCAAAAATACCTATGTGGAAAGGTGCAGTTGGAGCCTACTTCATAAATGCTATATGCTATTTCCCTGTGGCCATGATAGGATACTGGTCATTCGGCCAAGATGTTGATGATAATGTACTCATGGCACTCAAGAAACCTGCATGGCTCATTGCCTCCGCAAACTTGATGGTGGTTGTTCATGTCATTGGAAGCTACCAGGTATTCCTTTTTCTGGATAATAGCTACCAGTTATTCATACACAATTACATAGGATCCTGTTTTGTAGCGTAAAGCTACATAATAACAAACTACTGCTAGATGAGAAATAAAGGCCAAGCACGATAAATTTTCATAGTAACTCCCAGAAAAGAAACAAAGAATGCTAGCAGCTAAAATACTAAACACAAGTAGGAAATCTTTGCAGGTTTATGCTATGCCTGTGTTTGACTTGCTGGAGAGGATTATGGTTAAAAGGCTGAACTTCCCACCAGGAATTGCACTGAGACTCATAACTCGATCTGCTTATGTAGGTGAGGTTTCCTCTATTCTTATCCTTGGAAAATGGAATCCTAATAAAACTGTTAAGTATATAAATGAAGTTACCTGGCTGCTTGCTTGTTGGATCTTTGCAGCATTTACCCTGTTCGTAGGAGTCACATTCCCTTTCTTTGGAGATCTTCTGGGATTCTTTGGTGGATTTGGTTTTGCTCCCACTTCATATTTTGTAAGCCTCCCACTCATTGCCATTCAATTTTCTCGTACTCTCCTTGCTAACTGCAGCTATATATAACTTAATCTATCATGAAAATTGTTGCAGCTTCCCAGTCTAATGTGGTTGGTCATCAAGAAACCAAAAAGATTCAGCCTGAAATGGTTCACCAATTGGGTAATCAAGACACAATCCCTGCTTCAAAGCATCTGGTAATCAGATGAAGTTTTAATTAATTTGCTGATAATTTTCCGTTTTTATGCATGTTTCAGGGCAGCATATTCATAGGACTGTTCATTATGTTGGCATCAACAATTGGTGGCTTAAGGAATATCATCACGGATGCTTCAACATACAGTTTTTATACATGAATGAATCGTGAAATTTTATGTTGTTTTAATTAGATGGATTTCCTAGTAATCATATATCTTGTAAGATCTGCATTATTATCTTGAGCAAGTTGCAGTAGCATAAAACGGAACAATTAATCCAAATGTCAAGTTTTCTGTAAGTTCAATTTCCTCTCATTTCTTTTGAATGTACAAGTAGATAAGGAACTGGTTTGAAGATAATAACAAACCATTTCCTGATGCAAACACATAAAGGCAAATACCATTTTTACAATGTAATAAAATCAAAGAGCATATGTAAATAGTCGCGTAATCAATTGACGTGTTATATGTTAATAAAAATGTTCTAAAAAAATGGTAATAAGAAACTGTTGCCATATAAGGTTAATCCTTTATAAATTTGCATTTACTTTTATTAATTATAATCATAAACTTAATTTTATCATCTAATTGGAAAGGAAGTAACGAAGAATAAATTTGCAAACGACGTCGTGACAGCAATCAAGAAAATAGTCGACATGATGAAAAAACTACATTTTTGTGTGCCTACATGAGCCGTAAATAAACCACCACTTCAAATTATATTTTTCATTTCCCCTTCACCCAAAAAAATAAAAAAATAAAAAATATCAATTTCCTAAATTTTTTTTAATAAAAAACAGTGGTTGAAAAACATTTTCATTAGAGAGAGAGAGTGTGTGTCTTTTTGTAGAGAGAGAGAGTCATGGAGACTGCGATACGAGGGAGATTAACCCTCTCACCAAACACTATCTTTAATCCTAAACCAGGTTCTTCTTTCTCTTCCCCTTTCAATTTCTCTTTTGGTTTTTAATTTTGGGTTATGGTAAAGTTTGTAACGTTTCTTGATTGATTAATGACTACTCTGATAAAATGATCATAAACTCATCTGGGAAGTCGTTGTAATTTCGCTTAGTTGACCGTTATGGTATATATTCTGCTTAATTTCTCGAATAATAACCAACCCAAGTTGTAGATACACGAATACTTGGTTAACAATTCGGATTTGAAAGGATGGAGTTGGGCTTCAAGCTGTAGCTTTCTGTGGATTCATTTGCTGAGATGGGTATTTTGAAGACTGTTTTTTTATTATATTGGTAATTTGGTTTAAGAAGAATGCATATGAATGCAGAGATAATTCAGCTTTCTTAATTCGAAGCTTCTTAGCTGGGATTTCTTTGAAAATCTTTGAGCCTTGACCTTGTAATTTTTAGAGGTCATATTGATTGATGATTGCCAAGTTAAGTGCAGGGTTTCGAGTTGTGCTGCTGTGCTTACTACTTTCAGGGGGTGGGAGGGGGGGGGGGATTTAAGCCTTTGCTGGTGAGGCAAAAGCAAAAATTGCTGGTTTAGGAAAGAACAAAGTGGACATGGATGGAAACTATTATAAAAGAACTCACCTTTATTTGAGATTACTGAGGATATGGTCTTAAAAAGGGTAACAGTAGCACGATATGGTCGGTATGGAGGCTTAGCTTGTTGTTGTTTGTTGGTGGGAAAAAGTTCTAGACTCTCTAAGAAATAGGAATATTTTTGTTTAATGAGGCTTTAGCTCATTGATTCCTAGCCAGAGTTCTGTTCTATGTATTTGTTCTATAGTTTTGACTTTTGAGGTTAATAAATTTGGTTGTAGATGATTGAGTCCCTTTAGAAGTACGTACTACTTCATCCAATATAAAGAAATGGAGAAAGCCTGCAACCTAATGAGTACTCTTTCTCCAAATAGTCTAAAATGGTCTCTTGAATCTTAGTCACTGTTTAACACATGAAAATATATATTTTCCTTATTGATAATCAGAAAAATGAACGAACATTTTTTATGCTAGTCTTGTGTTGTTCATTAATCTTGCTTATTTGCCAAAAGACAGTAATTTTTTCAATTTCCAAATTGTTTTATTGACTGAATAAGTTGAACCTACTTGCCTCTGATATCTTGAGCTACTCAAACAAATAGTAATTATTATTAGTTTTTTAAAGAAAAAAAATCTATGGAGAAAGAAATATCAGATATTAGACAGAGCAAAAGCTATAGTCATGATGTTTTTTCTATTCTGTTTCAATTTCCTAAAAATGCCTTCCATTCCTTGTTGATCAAACTTAGATTGGTATCACTAGAGTGCTTATATGGATGGCTGCATATTTTTTATTAATGGTGTTAAATTGATACTATGGAGAACAGGGGATAAACAATCTCTTTGCAAAGGACCATGCGCCAATCGTGGCATTCTCATGGCTATATCAACCGCAGGACCAGGTAAAGGAGCAGGAATTTTGGAGAAGCCAGTTATAGAGAGAACCACTCCTGGTCGTGAATCTGAGTTTGATCTGAGGTGCATGCCCAAATTCAAAATTGTTGTCGGTGGTGTGAAATATTAAGTATTAATATTGTTTTCGATCATTCTTCTTATAAATTTTTGTTGGCATATGTCCCATTCTTGGACCATTTTTTAAAGCATCTATTTGCATACCCTTTTTTGGTTGATCGTTCAAAAATGACTTGCTGGTCATACAAAAGTAATGGGAGCATCCTGACTGGAACATTTCAAGATCTAGAAACTAATTGCAAACCGAGGAGATTTCCTTTTCACACCCGTGTCTATTTTGTGTTCACATTTATCACGTGTGGTATTAAAATGGAGTCCAACTATTCACATTGCTTTTCTTTTTATCAGGTTTATTTTTCTTGAATGATGAATTGCATTGCTTCTAAAATGCATTGGCACAATTAGCATTTGCTTCTAATATTTCTTTCCTGAATAGATCTTCTTTTTAAACATTCTTGTGGTTATGAATTGCTCAGGAAATCAAGAAAAATAGCCCCACCTTATCGAGTCATACTGCACAACGACAACTACAATAGACGGGAATATGTAGTCCAAGTACTGATGAAAGTCATCCCTGGAATGACCCTTGACAATGCTGTTAATATCATGCAAGAAGCACACTATAATGGTTTGTCAGTGGTGATTATTTGTGCTCAGGCTGATGCTGAAGAACACTGCATGCATTTAAGGGAGAATGGACTTCTGAGTTCAATTGAACCAGCAAGTGGAGGTTGCTAAAGACAGAGACAACCTAATAGACCATTTGGTTTATCACTGTTAAATATACCCTTTTTAGAGTGCTTGATGCTGTATATCTCAGTAGTGCTCTTATTGTATGTATGATCCCTGGACAATACATCCCCTATGGTCAAATTAAAGACGAGAGGATGGTACTGATTTTGAATAAAGGTGGCTCTATTTACTATTTTCTCTACCTGAGGCGTTGTTTTCTTTCTAATCAATTTGGAATGAGTTGACAACTTAAAGAATCAAGAAAAAGAACAAAAATGTGGATTGGTCGAAATGAACCTAAAGAAAGACCAGGAACAGGAAACGTCTCAGATGATTCCAATCCAAGAAGGGTACCAGGGGGAACAATAGCTTTATTTAGACTTTTGTCTTTAAAACTTTAACGGCCACCAATTGCCTAAGGTCAGTTGCCTCTGGTCATTCTTCCAGTCTAAATCAATGAGTTCCAATGTCCCAGGTGCACGACTTTTATCTGGCATATTGGGAATGAAAGAAGGAGCGCCATTGTCGAGAGGCTGAACCCACATAATCAGCAAGATTATTTTACATTACATGTCCATTTATGGAGTAAAAGGTCACTCGTTTGTTTATTTTGTTCAAAGCACCTAAAGATGGAACTGGACAATTTATATCTTCAATAGATGTGAACTAATCAACTATAAACTTTTCTATATTTGATAATACTGCCATGAAACCACAAATGAGAGGAAAGACTAACCTACTTAACAAGAAAAATACTGGGACAAGGCAATGAATGGCATGAAGGTCCACATGGTTGGTGATAAATAACTAAATTACTTTTCGTTTCATTGTTACCTTTTCATCGTTAGTTTGCACGTCCAAATATTGTAAAAATAAAAAATAATGAAAAAGAAAACACTTACGAAAGTCAAAATAAAACATAGGACATTGGCATTGCCAAGGTGATACCAACATCACAAAGCTTTCGTTCTTTGAATATATTTTAACTCCTCATAAAAGTTCACTTCCAATGAGATCACGCATAATCATACTCCATGTCCATGACTTGGAAAATGGGAGTTCTGAAGGTCAACATGTAAGTTTGCGATACCTGATTGCACACAAAAGGGACAAAGCAAAATAACCATTACAAACTATATACTGGGAAGCATCCAACATCATATGCATGTGTGAGAGCATGCACTACTACTTTAGGGTAGGCAAAAACACTCCTATTCCAAGAATACTATTCATTTCGAACTGGCTCCCACACCCTGCTCTCGACGATACAATATCAGTGCGTTTAAGAGTGAAAAAGATGACAGTTAAAGTGTGTGCTGTCATGGATGTCTATCTATTTGTGCATGTAAGAGAGAGCACCATGCCTGGAATGAGAAGATAGCAGGTAAACTATTTGGATTTCAGGATATTCAATTGGTTTGTGTGAAACATCAAAGCATTAATAGGAAGCATTCCCCTAAATGCCAAAAGAACACCCCCACATCCCCCAACTCTAATGAACAGTTCTCTTGACATCAAAATCTGTCACTAACCATTAGTAAGTCATCAAGACTCTACTGTGAGGAAGGATTGAATTCCAAAAACAATGAAAAGAACTCCACCCAATAGCGCAACCTGCATCAAAATAATAAAAACTTGGTTTTACAAGTTGCTTAAGAAATTAATATGCAAATCATAACTGTGGCATGAGGGTAAAAAGAAAAGTATGGATCAGGATTACAAGTTTCTCAGATATCTGAGATGCCAAGCTCTTTCCTCCAAGGACAGCAGCAGTGGTGCACAATGCTTGTCCTCTGGAGAGAAAAAAAAGGAAACATTACTAATCAGCATATACAAAAGAAACCAATTGTGTGAATATATACGGAGTGGTTTCAGAATAGGAAGGAAATAGCATTGCCTCAGTAAATACACGGACATCAAAAGGCAAAACTTACACAATGCCACCCAGAACCACACCAAATGGGTTCTCATCTGCAGCCAAACCAATGGTAGCAAGCTGAAAAGACAGAAAAATACTCAGTCCCAAATAATGAAGATGCAATAGTGACTTGTTACAGAAGAGACAGATGCATTCCATGTGATAAAGTTTACCTGGCTCTTATCGCCCCATTCACCAAAAAATGTGATGGAAAATGCCTGCAAAATAGGCACAGTCAAATGGTTTGAGTATATGCAGGTTTATCAAGATTCAAATTAATAGATTATAGAAGTTATAACCTTCAGAAGAATGGGAGAGAAGAATTGTGCAAGAAATGGCCGCCTCTTCTTTTTCAATTCATCATCAGTCTGGAAACATAGGAAACAGTCAAATGTCTTCAGAATCTAAAACAAGTTATTGAAAACTATAACTTGAAAATATCAAATATAAAGCCAGTCATGAATTCAGAAGCACATGGTAAATAAACCATCACCACTACCATGAACACATATTGACTTTTATCATGGAACAGACTTCATTTCCCAAAATTCATGAGAAAGGATAAAATTGCTAAAGAAATTTTCTTTCCAGACAATTTACAAGAATTCAATAAAGAAGCAGCATATGATTCCATAGAACCATCAATATTTTTCACAATTAATTTGGCAGGTTCAAATCTTTGGCATCCAGGAAATAGAAACAGCTTGTTCATTAAAGAAACAAAGGAAAGAAATTAATGTTGAATGAAAAGGTGGTGATTGAGAGGATAGGGTTGGCTATTTATGGTCATGAAATGTTTGGTTTCGATCATTTCGGGTTTCAAAATAGATTGGTTCAGGTGATTGACTTCTGAAAATTAATTCAAATCAAGTTGAGCTCAGGCCATTTCTATAATAAAAATTTATATTATATTTAAATTTATAATTAAATTGAAGTTTAAAAGAAGAAAATAATATATATTTTGCTTAGTTCAAGTTTTGGTTTATTTCAAGTTTGAGTTAGGGTCAGGCTCAAGTCGGATCACTTAGCTTCAGAGTTCAGATTGATTCAGTTTTGGGTTGTTGACTTCTAGAGTCAGTTCAGGTAGGGATAGGTAGGGGCAGGTCTTGCAGGCTTGGTCATATTTCCCAGCTCTAGTTGTATGCCTTATACACCCACAAGGAATTTAGTAACAAAAATTTATGTCCAACTAGTAAATCAAATGTCTTTTGATATTCCAAATAAGTTCAGAATCAACAGAAAACATGTTCACAGAAATAACAATATCCTATTTTGTGAAATATGCTTGTTGTTTCTGTACCTTACTGCTCTCCTCGGCCGTTCCTGTGTTAGCATTCCAGTCAGCATCCTAGTTTCACCAATAAAGTAACATTTAAACAATAACAAGGTTTTTTTTTTCCATCAAAAAGAAAATGTCCACTTAAACATCAGGAAATTGATTACAAAAACCTACTAGTTTTGCTTCAACCTCAGCCAATTCTTCAGCCTCCCTGTTGTGGAAACATAATTAGGTCACAACATGATCAATTTACAGTAAAACAAAAGCTTACCCTACCTAAGCCTGACAAATAGAAGTCACACCCATGCAAACGATATAAGAATAATGAAAAAGATTAAAGAGATAAGAAAGCATTACCCATTCTCCATAAATCCATCCCATAAAGACCACAGACCAAATCCAAAGAACAACACTGTCGTTATGTGATGCGTCCATTTCCTAGAGATCTGCATAATAAAAATATACAAGAAGAGAATGAGAGCATTTTTCATACAAGTTTAAAATTGTTACATGTACATGAGTGTGTGGTACATAATTAAATTCGATTAAATTAATCATCCAAGCAGACTGAGCTTTGAATGTTCAGAATGAAGGTTATCAGACTTTTGCACAATATAGAGTTCAACAAAATCACATTCACTAATAAAAGCATATATTACATTGGCTATTACAGGTTTCACTTAGTATCCACCTATCCATACTAAGTCTACATCAGAATAGATTGATCCACATTTGGAAAGAATGCTCTAAAATTTAAGTTCTATGAGAGATTGAAGATTCACTTTAAGTAATTCTGGTAATGGAACGGGTCAGGCAGTCATTCCCACCAAACCAAGTAGTTCTAACTTTTCACATAGTTGATAGATAGGAAAATTAATGCGGAATCAGAATTCGCATATGGTAATACTCAATCAAGAAGCTGAAAATCCCATCAAACTTATCCAAAAACTCAATAATCAAAATCTTAAAATATAAAAAATATCCATATCACATTAACCCAAAGCCTCCTAGCAACTTAAATAACATAATTATTTATAACTAAACCTAAAACCAAGTAGAGACGCAAAATATCAGATATAAGCTTAAAGTCTAATATTTGGAACCATCCTCATGCATTGCATTTAGCCATGACAATCTTCTAGATTATAGGAAAATGTTCTCATAGCAATTCTAGTTAAGAACAAAGGATGCCATCTATATACCACTAAAAGCCATCTCTCCTAAACTAAGTATTTTAACTGCCAAAAGTATGAACCTCATCAGAAAATGCCACAGGATGTTGATAAAATTATCGATGCTAGGAGGACAATTCTATCACAGATAGCAGCAGCACCAATATGAAGGCATTTTATACAGTTATAAGTGGGTAAAGCTAAAGCCACAATTAAGTATCTCCACTGCATTTTGTAACCTGCAACTTTACAGAATATGGATCAATCAAGTTGACTTCAGTTCAGCTCTCATCCTAAACAAGTAGCTTTCCTCCTTTCATCCTATTTGGCAATTTTTCCAGGCAAAAATGACCAAGAATAACTTAGTTCACCAAATATTGCTTGGAATTCCCCAAAACAAGCCTTTAGTGTGATTGTTCAGGTCCTTAAAAAGAAATTAAAATTGATCCACCTGCAGAAGAAGCTTTTTTCAAACAGCAATCAGACCACTTACAAGATTTGGAGCAGCCCAGCCAACAACAGCAGAAAGAATGGTCATCACCTACAGATGAAATATTTCAAATAACTGTGATGCTCAAGAAAACAAAAAAGTTAACAAAGTGAACCTGAATGAAAAAGAGGTGTGGAAAAAGGAGAAAAGAAAAACGCTTACAATTAAAGATGCCAGGCATCCAGACAAGACAAGTCTCCGTGGATGACGCATCGCCAAGATCTTGAAACAAGTAAAATGCAAGATTTCAAAAAATTCAGTGTTCAAGCCATTGCAGGAAAAAATGCAGTCAAAGTGGTGATTTTCAGCGAAGCACAGTATTGAGGGATTTAATTTTATAATATAAGCATAAATATTTAAGTAAAATATGAAAACCAGTATATCCTAAAAAAGAAGTATAAAAACACAATTAAAGTAATCTGCAAAACAAAAGAGGTGCTTTCCGACATTTAGGTATATATCAGACTTATCTCCAAAATAAAGCTGTACCAATGACAGAATTAATACTCTTTTACATCATGCACTTGAACTAAATAGCTGTCCACTTAAAAAACCATAAAAAGACATTAGCCTTTTACAGCTTAAACCATGTGCACAGTTGTCAGCTCCAAAACAACCTATGCTCAATTTCTTCATTCATATAGAAGGCTTGCTTAAGTTAAAACAGTAACTTCGAGTTACCATGATAAATACACGAATTTTGACCATAGAAAAGCAAATGACCAAACATTAAAGATATTAATCTCCTAAATGCGCATAATGATATATTGTCCTTTAAGAAATTCATCCACAAGTTGATTCCAGTAAAACCACTTGATTACTAGGATCCATAAATTCAACACTTGCACGGGAAAGACATTTTTACCAGAAAATATTCAGCTAATGATAATATTGTTGCTTAGAAGTTGTTTCCTTGAGTCTAACCAAAGACTTAATGTTCAGACTGGTCAATGCAGGGCAATACAGAGTGTGGGTAGGCTGAAGAATTACAACTTACATAGATGAAATGGAAATGTAGAACCAATATTATTTATTTTAAAGCTCTGCTTTTCTATTTTTGCTAAGTAAGATGAAGTCTAGGAGGGAGGGGGCATTCGAACCTTGGACATTAATCCTCTTAAGGAGAGATAACTACAAATACCAAGATTGGGTTGTTAAAATTCAGCATTTTAAAGCCACTAGCCAAAGGAAATGCAAAAGAGCACGGCCTTATTTTTTGTGAAGGATGGATGGAGAAGATGCAGGTATCATATTTGATCAACTGGCCAGGTAGTTTCTGGGGTACCTCATTTGAAGCCACAGAAACTAACCAGCCAGGTAACTTTTGGGAAATACTACGACCAAGATTTTTTAGAATATTAAACAAAGGAGAAATTATTCCTGTGCATGTGGACCATCTGAAATCCTCCTAATCAAGCAGATGAACTCAAGTTTTTCTTTTTCATCCTATACTCTTTTTTTTTTCTCTTTTAAGTAATTTAAACCCATAAAACTTTTTTTCTTTTAGCAGTCTTCTAAAAATTTACTATCCAATCAAATGTATGATAAGCAGAAGTTTAATCTCTTGCTTTCTTATACACACACAGAAAATATATATACATATATATGTATAAAATGATCAATTCAAAACATGGAAAACTACAACAATTTAAAACAAAAAAAAAGAGGTTTTTAAACAAGCTCAATGGTTGTCAAAGTAGGGAATTATTCATTATTGACACCATCTACAATTCAATTTCAGTTTCAACTTTCAAGTCCTTTCTAAATAATATCAAATAGTGAAATTCCAGTGTAATAAATATAATTAGCCAAACAAAAAAAAAGAAAAAAAATCAATAACAAAATAAAAGCTTGGACTAACGGCGGCAGCGAAGAACGTCTTGTCGCCAATCTCAGATAGCACGGTCATGGCTAGAGACTTCGAAAAGCCCTTTCAAAAACAAAACAAGACCAAAAAAAAATGATGATTAGTTGACGCAATTCAGAACTCAGAATATCAATGAAAGTCTTAATCGAGTCTTTGTTTGAGTTATCAAAAGTTTTACTTGCACAACTGAGCTCATGATTGCAGTTTGCAGAAAGATCTGAGAGAGAAACCCCAAATTTTCGCAGAATATACACTTTTTTGTGTTTGAAGATTGACTCTCTCTCCTCTCTCCGAATGAGTTCGAGCTCTGAGTTGTTCGAGTTTGTGACCCGGACTACGCCCCAGAGGAGAGAGACGACTATACAATCACAAATACAAAGCTCTAATAATAAATAAAATTAAAGAGAAAAAAGTGCCGTATAAAGTTAAAAGAGTGTTCGTTTTTTGGCGCGTGTTGTTCACTTCCTGGAACGAGGGAATCAGGGAAATGGGAAAAGATTCGATTGGATGGATGGCTTGATTTAGTGGCAGACTTCTGTGGCGTTAGGATCACGCGACTTTTTTTTCGCGTAATAAACAATTCCGATTTGCTTACCTGTTTTTTTAATCAAATGCACGGCAATAACCGTCAAACGAAGGTTTTCTTCAGCAGAAAAATACGAAAGAATGTCAAACGAATTTATTTAAGCTAAAAAAACTAGTGAAAGTTTTTTTTTTTTTTGGACTGACGTTGGGATATAATGGAGCTAATTTTTAAAGGTTATAAGTTCAAAAAAATTGACATATTATAATGTTTTTATTCAAATAAATATTAAGGTAGGGCATGTTCAAAATTTTGTAAAAAAATTATTTTTATTTATACAAAAAATCAAAACATTCACAATTGATGTAAAAGTTTTTTTTTTTTTAAATATAACTTTAACGATTGCAGTTAAAATAATCAACATTTTTTGTTTAATGAGTAGTATATAATTGAATTCATATATGTTTTAGCAATATTTTAATTTAACAAATGCAAAATAACACTTCAAAATTTGTAAATAATACCATTTTCATTAATTATGAGTTATTTAATTTTTTTAAGCCAATTGATAGTAATGTAAAACAAAACCAATTAATCATGTATTATTTTTATAAAAGTGAAATTATTTTTTTATATATGCACCATCGATCAAACGATTATTTGTTCTTAATTCGTTGACTGCATAACATCACTAATGACACGAACATTTTTCTAACAATGGATAGTGAAATTTAGAAATTAAAATAAAATTATATGGCGTATTAGTTATCATTCCATTTTTATTATGCTGTCATTGAATAAAAAAGTCATATTTGTGAAAGCTTTTGAAGTGAAAGACCTGTTATTGATACTGACCAAACAATACCTATTATGGATAGAGATACTAATTTATTGCTTCACGTTTTCAACTAAAACATCATTTATGTTAAGGATAAATAAAATTCAATTTTAACAAGTAATTATTCATTTTTGTTTTATAATCTATTTATCACCAAAAAAAATTCCACAATATATTTCATGTCCATAACAATTGTTTCATAAATAGACTTTTCACTTTTTTGGAGAAAAATGTAGAAGCCCATAAACAGAAAAGACATCCTGGGCATAGCTACTTAGTTAATTGGGTTAGCAATATGAAGCCCAAGTTAGATAAGAATCGTTGGGATCGGTGGACCTGGACGGTATGACCCTGGACTCTTAAGTTTAGAGTTCTCTGAAAACGCCGAACTCGATGCAATAAGTTTGCTATGATCTGCTTTCAACTTTTTGGTTTTTGTGGGTCAGCTTCTTTTGCTTTTATAATTGACTGAATATTAATAGTTCATTTGCGAAAGGGGAGATTAGTTATAATGAGATTAAAAATAATAATAACAAAAATTATTATAAATGTGATTGAAAAAATTATTATGGTTATAATAAAAAAATTTATATTGAATAAATTTTATTAAAATTAATATTTAAATTTAATTGATAATACAATGAATTTAAATATACTATACTAAAAATACGGTGAAATTTAAATCCCTACTAAATTGATTGCTAAAGCTAGTATTTTATAATCCTCCATCATGGGATCGTGTATTTATCAACTGATTGATAAAGGTTTAGTTTGGTTTTTATATTCGGATTTTAGCCTTTTGCCCATGCTCAAACAAAATTGCCCATTCACGGTTTTCATGTGATCCCCGTCCCCACCACTACTAGGAGGGAGGGTGGTCCTCTACTCAAGCAAAAATTTCATCGCCAAAGAGAGTTTTAGCTATCAAAGTCACGGACCCGATCCTGATATATATATTCTGACAAAAGAGGTGCGGTCCAACAGGCCAAAATGGATTCCACAAATGGTCAAAAGACCAGACAAGCAAAAGCAATTATATTATATATGGCGATTGGAGAAGTCACGCCATTGACAGGGGAACAGCCCTTTACAAGTTTATGAAAAGCCCCCAAATCCTGCTTATTAACCGGATGATTTGGATACAAATCAACACTGACAACCACGCAAAGACAATGACCCTCCAGTTCCAAGACTAAATCACCTTGTAAAAAGAATCAAGCTTTGCATTGGTAAACATAAAGAGTATTTCTTCACCATTTCTTTTAGCTCCACTCAAAGCTTCTTCACCCTAACACCAAAGCCCCAATAGCTATCCTCAAATTTCCTTTCTTGCTCAAGAAATGAGGCTTCTGTTTTGCGTTCTGTTCGTTGGTTTCTTCGTTATGGCTCCATTTGTTGCCTGCTCTCGAAGCTTGCCCCAAAGCCCCAAAGCGACGACGGTTCTCGACGTTGCTGAAGCTATTGAGAAAACCAAAAACGTCCTCTCATATGAGCCAACAAAGAAACCAGCATTTGGCCCACTTGACCAAAACCTCTCCGCTTCATCTTCGTCTTCGCTTTCCCTTCAGATTCATTCGAGAGCCTCTATTCATAAAAGCTCCCACCTTGATTACAAATCATTAACCTTATTCCGACTAGAGCGTGACTCAGCTCGAGTTGGCTCACTCACGACTCTGTTGGATCTGGCTGTCAACAGCATTTCAAAGTCGGATCTCAAACCGCTTGATAATGGATTGGAGTTTAGGGCAGAGGATCTAGAAAGTCCTATTGTGTCGGGTTCGAGTCAGGGAAGTGGTGAGTACTTTACCAGAGTTGGAATCGGGAAACCACCGAGTCAAGTGTACATGGTACTCGACACGGGCAGTGACGTCAACTGGGTACAATGCGCACCCTGCGCTGATTGTTACCAACAATCCGACCCAATTTTCGAGCCCGCTTCATCCTCTTCCTACTCGCCACTAACTTGCGAAACACAACAATGCAAGTACCTTGACGATTCCGAATGCCGAAATGACAGCACCTGCGTCTACGAGGTTTCATACGGTGACGGCTCTTACACTGTCGGTGACTTTGTCACTGAAACTATCACTCTTGACTCGGATTCTGTCGATAAAATTGCAATTGGTTGTGGCCATAATAACGAAGGCTTGTTTGTTGGGGCGGGTGGCTTGCTTGGTCTCGGCGGCGGCCCGCTTTCCTTTTCTTCGCAGCTTAATGCAAGTAGTTTCTCTTATTGTCTCGTGGATCGTGACTCTGACTCAACGTCGACTCTCGACTTCGACTCGGCTCTCCCACCTAATGCCATTACAGCTCCGCTACTTCGTAACCACCAGCTAGACACGTTTTATTATCTTGGTTTAACCGGAATGAGTGTGGGTGGCGAGATACTTCCGATTCCTCAGTCAGCTTTCCAAATGGACGAGTCAGGTAATGGTGGGATTATCATCGACTCGGGGACCGCCGTGACTCGTTTGCAGAGCGACACCTATGATGTTCTCCGTGACGCGTTCGTTAAAGGGACAAAGAACTTGCTGTCAACTAATAGCGTGGCATTGTTTGACACGTGTTACGATTTGTCGAAGAAGAGCAGCGTAGATGTGCCAACGGTGTCGTTTCACTTCCCTGATGGTAAAGTTTTGCCATTACCGGCGAAGAATTATCTGATACCGGTTGACTCAGCGGGAACCTTCTGTTTCGCGTTTGCGCCAACGTCATCGTCGCTATCAATAATTGGGAACGTGCAGCAGCAGGGAACACGTGTCGGTTTCGATCTCGGTAACTCCCTCGTAGGATTCGTGCCCAACAAATGTTAAGAAATTACTTGGAAATCCATTTTTACTTTTCGTGAAAAAAAACAAGTTTCATTTTTTCAAAAAAAAAAAAAAAAAACCTTAGTGAGTCGTGATGGGGTGGTGGGACCGCGCAAGTGGCGACGTTATCAATGTCGGCATTAATGGCATACATAGTAAATTAAATGAATGCACGAGGAGAATAGTGGGCAGAAGCTAGAGTATTGAAAAGGTTGATGATATTACCGTTACAAATGTTGTCGTTTTTATTTAAAAGAAAGATTCGCTACGATGTAATGAAAACATAATTTACTTGGTGTCAGTGCTGACATGGTTGGATCAGATGCTTTGTGTCTTTTATTTTTTTCCCCTTCGATATAAATACTATGATTGATTTCACCATTATATGTGCCAATGGTTCGGCTAAAAGCTTTCTCTCAAGTCTTAAAATTTCATGCTTGGAAGGACAGCATTATTCATTTATTATATGCCAAAGCGCTTGATTCATTTTAGGCTTTTATTTTATAAAACCTTTTTTTTTTCTTCTTTTGAACTACGAAAAATCTTCAAGCTAAGTCCGACTCCGCTCATTGGTTTTTATAAAACCTTCATGTATTTATTTCCTTTTTCGATTTTGTATGATTTGTCGGAAGACATAAATTAGGTGGATTCGTTCACGTGCACTTTCATGTCATTTGGAGGAAATAAATTTTGACTTCTACAGTATATTAATATTGGTAGGTTAATTTTTAAAATATAAATTTAATAATTAAGGAAAAATCTACTTTCATCAGTTTAAATTTAACACTTTATATTTTGGGATCAAAATAGAAAAAATTAAAAATATTAATTCAATCCAAATTAATCATAAATTTAATTTTGATTCAAAAATTAAAAAAATATATATAAAACATTAAAACTTATAATAATGTAATTGCATCCCTACTCATTATAATTTCAAATGATTAACTTAATCTCATGGTTTAATGTCCATTAGGATGTGAAGGAAGGCGTTTAGAGACATAAGAACAAGTTAACAGTAGCAATAAATAAATTTTATGTCAACTTGGTCATAGGATATATATAGTTATATCAATAATTTATCCTTGCAGGAATATGCTTGAAATTGCTTGATTTACAAGAGCATGGCGAATTCAGTGTGTCCGTTTTCTTTATTCCTTATTTTTCATTTAGACATTCATTGTTGACTAAATTCAAACGCATACTACCATGAAAAAAAAAAAAAAAAAAAAAAAAACCTATATAATTTATTTATTTTTTACTAAAGTCTTTATCTTCCTTTAGCAGTAATCATTGAAGTGGGCTTAACGCCTTACCCAACGAGCCCAAACTTGAATTCATCAGAACCCAAGTTATTTCGGATGTTCAGTCCAAATTCATAAAAAGGACATCAACATTAGGATGTTGAAATGGTTTTTTTGTCGCCTAGTATCCATCGCAACTGGAAGACTGTAAGTGCCACGTGTCAGGACATCAATCTCTGGCATATGGAGAAATGGAATCCTAAACTCTTTCAATAGTACCTTTGACAGCTAACGAAAATGAACAAGTGGACAACCATTAGGATAAGTGGATAAATAAAAAATCAGCAGCTCGTGGCAGTTCAAAGGAAGGAACATCCCCAGCAACAGTGCGTGCAAAACACTTGCCGCCATGGATGGTGTTGCTGGCCCTGCCTGTTGGGATCTAAACGACGGTCCAATTTGAATTACTATTACTTATAATTAATACTACGATGATTTGATAATATTGAGAAAAAATTCACACTTTCCTTTTGTTAAATAATGAAAGGTTAAGGGTAATTAACTTATTATTTAAGAAAAATATTTTTATTTTAATATATTATTTTTATTAAATTAAAAAATAATATATTAATTACACATATATTTATTATTGTTTTAATATTAAATTCGTAACAAAGTAGTAAAGTATAATGTTAGTAGTGCCAACAATTATGTAATATGTTGGTAAGAGTTACAAACTTTAAGTTTCAATAACTATGATTAAATTTTTGATAATTTTAAATATAAAAAATTTGTTAATGCAATTAATTTGAAATCATTGAAAAATTCATTAATTCAAAAATTTTTATAAATTTTTATATATTTATTATTGTTTTAATATTAAATTCGTAACAAAGTAGTAAAGTATAATGTTAGTAGTGCCAACAATTATGTAATATGTTGGTAAGAGTTACAAACTTTAAGTTTCAATAACTATGATTAAATTTTTGATAATTTTAAATATAAAAAATTTGTTAATGCAATTAATTTGAAATCATTGAAAAATTCATTAATTCATATATTTTTATAAATTTTTATATAATTAATATTTTTATAAATCCACCATTAAATTTAACTACCTATTTACATTCGTTATGTACATAAAATTTTAAATTATTTTAATATTTTTATCATTTCAAACGAGAACAATATTTTTTAATATATATATTCTCATATTTTTCAATATTTTAACTATATGTCAACATCGTTTTGTTCTCTTTTAGTTTATATTTTTGCTTAAGAAATTAGTTTAATATTTAGAAGATCTAAGTGAATGAAATTTTATTTGTTGTGGTGAGAAAAATGCCGCTAATTAAATAAAAGAAGGTCATGCTAATACCATCCGTTGACAATTACAATTTGTTTTTCCCTTTTATCTACAATCAGTTAGTCTGTATTGAAATTATGCTAATAATTTAAAATATAATACAATGATATAATATAAAATTAATATAAATATAAAATATAAAAATAATTTAATTTAAAATTAAAAAAATATAAATAAATTTATTAAATTTAATATATTTTATTTTATTTTTTATATCAATATAAATTATAATATATAATTTTTATATAAAATATGATATAAATATAATATTTTACTAAATACAATAATATGAATTACCAAATTTACTTAAAAGCAACTAATGCAAATTCCATTCCATTTCTTTGCCTGTACGTATCTTCCCTTTGAATGAATACTTTGTTCATGTGGTTCTTATATCAACCTTAACTTTTGTGCTTACACTTTGACATGATTTGGAGTGGATGGAAAAAGGAAAAATAAAGGTTAACGAGTATTATCCCTTTATTTTATTCATGTGAGTAATATATTTTCAATTAAAATTGAAAATTTAATGATTTTAATAAAAATAAAAATAATTAAAATAAATATTAAAATTTGTTTTAGTTAAAAATATATTATTGATCATTAGATAAAACCGATGAAAACCTTTATCACTTTTTGTAAGCATCGAAGAGATTCCTTCTCATGATTAAATTATATATCAGAATGAGAGTGCATTCATATTTTGGGATTAGCAAAATTCTTGTTGCTATGGTTTGATTTTCTCCATGCAAATATTAATGAAAAGAACAATCATATCCTGTGGTGTTCTAACTAAAGCCCCGGAAAAAATGTTGCTTTAATTTTACAACGTAGCAAGAGAGAATGAAAATAAAAAAATTAAAGATGATAATGAATCGAGAGAAGTTTTTAATTATTTTAAATATGATTTGATTTTATATTTATAATATTTAAATTTAAATTGAAAATTTTAGTTATTTTTATATTTAATTTAATTTAATATTTTATAAAATTATATTTAATTAATTTAATTTAATAAATTATTTAATAAAATATTAATTTTAATATAAATTAAATAAATAATTTAAAAATAATATATATATAATTTGATCCAATTGAATTTACTTAAAATTTAATATTTTTTATTTATTATCTTGATTCAACTTAAAACTTAATTGAAAAAAAAATATTGATTTTATAAAATCGAATCGGATGAATATCAGGTTGGACTGCAATCTCTAAGTACCACAGCATTCAATCTAAAAGATACACTCAGATCGCACGGACAAATCCATGCATGGATTTGGACCTTGAGTGAGGAGGGAAAGAGCTCGACCGTCCCCACCCTCACGTGACATCACCCAGTTTCTAGTCATTATAATAATAAAATATTAAAAACACAACCCATACACAAACCCCAAAAACAGCATCGCCAGAGAAACCTGGCACGTCATAACTGTACGATTGCCGTATCAGATGCGTCATAGTCTCTTCTCTTTTATCTCTATCTCTGTCAGACTCATATTAATCAATCATTATTACTACATTTGCTTTATTGATTTATTCTACTTTGTTTTTTATACAATATGTTTCTTAAACCCACAAGAAAACAAAATCTAATGAATAAAAACAATAAATATAGCCTGCTATGCTGCACCACTTTGGTCTAAAAAACTGGCCCCCGAGACTAGCGGTTGCTTTCAAGCAAACCCCTCGTTTTAAATGAATTGAAATGAATCGAATCTCATTAAAGTTCATGTTCCTGTAAGAAATTAAATTATATGACATCTCATCACCATCATATCATCCAGCCGCGCTGACACTCTTCGTCAGGGCTATTAAGGTACACCAATTGCAGAGAGGAACGGTAATATCAGAAAGAAGACTAAATAAGTCAAAAGAAAGGGATCCAAACAAGGCAATGGTAGCTCTTTCTGAGCCTAGCTACCACTAGAACAGCCAGTGGCAGTATCCTCCAGTAGAGCTCCAGGGAGAAGAATGAATCATCTCAGCTCAGACACAGAGAGACGTTGAGAGGGGCAGACAGGAAGTGGGGGTTTCTTGTCTCGGGGAGTGGGCTGTGTAACACTCACTCGCATTACAGTGCGTGCATATCAAAATACAGGAGCGAATATTTAATACTAATAATTAATGCAGTAATGTCATTTTATTTTTTTTTAAGAAAAAATTAAAATAAATAAATTATTTAATCTTTTAAATTAAAATAAAATATTTTATATTTTATAATTTAAAATAAAATATTATAAATCATATATTCAAAATACAATAATATCATTTATGGTTACTGCCAATCGTCAGGATCTGCCTTTGGAGTAAGTTGAGGACTTAAGGTCACTCTGTAAGCTGAGTCGCGGGCATTGTCCGAGTGGCTTATAATGCAGGGTTGGAGTGCTAGTTTGGCTTCTTGCTAGACTAAGGGTAGGGGTAAGTGTCGGTTGTTTCTAGACTAAGGGTTTAGTCATACTGTGTTAAGAAAAAAAAGTTTTAGGGCCAGGACGAATCAATAATTCATGACATAGGCAATGAACAAGCCACAAGGTTTTATGAATGAACCTGAAAACATTAAAAGGGAAACTTATTTGTTATCATTTTTCTACTTTCCAGTTTCTCAGCACAGCAAAAATGAACTGAATTTGAGACAGATCATGTTGCGGCTAAATCTCTTAAAGAAAATTGAAAAAAAAAAGAGGAGGAAGTAAAGAGGGAAGAGTCTATCGATTCTTTTTTGTTTTA